CTTTTCTTGAGCACAGCACTGAGTATGTTGTCCTAACGGGACCCAGGCACAATGGGAAATAGCTTGCGTGTGAGCACTGATTGCCAAGTCCTGTATTGTTTTCTGTAGTTTAATGAGATAACGCGACATTTTGTCGTTCGCGGTTGCTCACAACAAGAGTGTCACATTTCTAGAAATGTAAGTGAGCCTTAGCTTTCTCTTGGTGACCGGCATAGCTGTTTCCCTTTAGCATCTGAAAAGGTGTAGGTTAGTGACCAGGAGCTGAGCTAAGACTCCAGCTGACTAATTGAGGCAGCTCTACATACAGCTCAGCACTGGGGAAGTGTGTCAGGAGGTAGCTTATGTCTTAACATTGGCAAATAGGAACCACTTTTATTCAGTTGCTCCTGCATTAGCAGCCTTGACTTCACCAGAGTGGATGAGATACAAATGCATAGGCCAGCCTGTGCAATGGCAATGCCTGCAACACCAGCACCAGGAGCCTGGGGCAGGAAGACCGTGTACTTGAAGGCAGCCTGAGCAATAAGCATAACGACTTCCCAACCAGCCTGGCCTACATAGTGAAGTCTTGATTCTGAAAGACACAAACAAGTGGGATTAATGGGTTTCTTAAAATACTTCTCTTGCTATTCAAATGCATATAGATTTTTATTTTGGGAATGCAGTATTTTGGAGGCTATAGATGATACATTACAATTTTGGAATACATTTTTTCCTTTGGATTGCTTTTACACCTTTGCTGTGGGATAGGGTGGTACATACTGCATAACTATAAATGTTGGTAAACTGACATTTTGTGCCCCCAGAGTTTCCTTTCGCTTCTCTGTAATTCCTTCTCTCTTCCTCAATTCTCCTCATTCCTAGTCATTTGTCTGTAGTCTGTCATAATTAATTAATTTGTTTTGAGGCGTTCTCATAACTTTCACTCTTAATTATTCTTGGACTCAGTCATAGTATGTGTATAGTAGATGATTTCTTTTTATTGCTCAGTAACATTGGATCACATGAGTATATCACCATGCGTATGTGCACTCATTGTTCATGCCTGTGTTATCTGTCTACTGCCATATTACAGTTAACCCCAAACTTAGAGGCTTACGATACAAACCTCTAGTACCTCCTAGTTTTCTGAGCTAGGAGTTTGGGAGAGTGTCACTTGGTGGCTCTGGCTCAATGTCTTTGATGAGATGTTGCCTCAGTATTGGGGCTGGGACCTTCGTCATTTGAAGTCCTCACATGGCTGGCGGGAGACATTGCACTCCTTAGCTGGAGGCCCATGTTCTTCACCAAGGACCGTCTTTGCAGGGCTGCGTGAGTGTTCTTATGGCATGGAGTCTGTCACTCTCCAAACGTGACCCAAGAGCAGGGGAGGGAACGTGAGGGTCTCTCATGGCCTAGTCCCAGAAGTCATATTGTGTTTCTGTCATTACTGTTTGGAAGAAGCAAGTGACGGCTCTCACTCGAGGAGAGAATTAGGGTCTGCTTTTTGATCACCATAGAATTTGTGGATGTTCCAGGTGAAATGGTGTGCCCCTTTAGTCATAGCTACTTGGGTGACCCAGAGGGGCAGAGTGTCACAATCCAATTGGAAGCCATCCTGGAAAGGAAAAAAATGTGCCCCCATGTGGTGGCACACACCTCCATTCCCAGCATTTGGGAGGCAGAGACTGGCAGTTTCTGAGTTGGAGGCCAGCCTGGAATATATGGTGAGTTCCAGGACAGCCTGAGCTTCATAGTGAGACCCTAAAAATAAATGAATAACAAACAAGCAAGCAAATAAATATAAAAATAAAAAAATTGTGGACTTATTTTAAGTGTACCACAGTGGGCCATTGTATCACTTTTCAGTTTTGACCATTACAGATACAACTGCTTGTTACATACCTACCTAAATACATACATATGTATAGATCTGTAAATACACATTTATTGTGTGTATGTAAATGTCTAGGCGTAGTTGGATGAATAGAAGAAAAAGGAGAAGGAGCAATGACTGCTCCTAGGTGTGGCAAGAGGGAGGGGCATCTGGGAGAGTCCAGAGAGGACCTGACCTTGAGCTTGCGAGGGGATCGGGGAGAGGACAGCTAGGTGCAGGCAGCCAGGAGGCCCAAAAGAGTAGATGAAAAGGGCCAGGTAACCAAAGTGGTTGATTATATAGGGAAGGGCAGCTGGGGGAAGGGTAGTCCAGCTCCTGGACTGGGGAAGCATAGGACAGGAGGCGGGATGCCAGCCAGGAATGCCCTGTAACAGGTCCCGACTGAGGGATGCAGGGAGACCCTGACCTCCAGCATTCGCTCTGGTGTGATAATAGGCGCCTCAGCCATTCGTCCCAGGTTTGGAACTTAACAGTAGTGTGGCTCATTTCGAGGGTGGCATTATGTGAAATTTTACCACTTGCATTGTGAATTGTGTACTAAGAGAAAAAAGTACAGAAAAATAATTTCTTATATGAATGTTCATTTTAAATGTTAAAATTTCCTTTACATATTACATTCTTTAAAGTTTTAGTATTAAAAGAAAAAAGTATTAAAGAAAACAAAACCTTCCAAATGTGGAGACAGTTTTCCCCAGTCGGTGGCACCTGTCTCCCTCAGCAGCGCGTGAGCTGCAGTTGGGTCACACAAGTGTGTTTATTCCGTAGAGTTGCTGGGGGTCACTGCTTGACCTTTTGGCTAAGATCAGATATCCATGCGATCGTTTTAGGTTGCTTTCCCTGAATTTCTTTTATGCTGAAGTGTCATTTTTTGTACTTTAAAGAAACCTCACTGAGTGGTAAGAGTGTGTGCTGTGTCCATGTGCTTGTCACATGCTCTGTCGTTTTTAACTACATGTCTGGAAATTGGTCTCTTGTGGCACGTGGCCCTGGAGGCTTTGGCAGTACGTACGTGTGTGTCGTGACTGCAGTCAGGACAACTCAGCAACTCTCACCTCCCCACTCCCCGCGCACCCTCATGTTGCCCTTCCTCAGGTCCTGTTAACACACATTCTCTTCTCTACTGGGGGTCGCTGATTGTTTTCTACTCCTATAGCTTTGCTGTCCCCTAAATGCCGTATAAATCACTGCTTGTGAGGTGTTGTGACTGGGATTTATTTACCCAGCCAAGTGCGCCGAGACTCATCTGTTTGTGTGCCTTATAAGTTGTTCCCTTGTGTCCCTGTCTTAATGTCTTTCCGTTTCATGGTGAAGGGCATGTAAGTTGTCTCTGTTTTCGGCAGTTGTGTATACAGTTGTGGTGGAAGTTTACCTCCAGCTGTTTCTGTGAGCCTATGATTTTCTCTTGGCTTTAAGGAGTGGGATTGTGAGGCGGCATCCAAGCCCAGCTTGGCCTTACTTAATCTGGGGTTTTAAATCACAAGTTTTATTTCTTAAGTCTGCTAGCTGTTGATTCCTCTTTTGTGAGCTTTGGTAGGTTTTGTGTTTCAGAAAAAAGAAGTGCCCCTTTTCTATTGAGTTTCTCGGCTTATAATTGGGTTCCAACCACACACATTTTCCTTTTAATGTCTACCTCTGCTGAGCTCATACCCTGCCTCCTAAATATCCAAAACTTGGCCTTTCATTTCCCTTCTCTTTGCTTTGGCTAAGAGATGTGTTTATATAAGTATTCACCCTTCAGATCAGAGTAGAAAAAGAGATTTATTGAGCCTACCGCGAGAGCATAGTGTACATGGCGTCACAATGGAAGCTGCCTCTGTGGAAGAGACAGTGGGCCCTTAAAAGCCGTCTTCAGAGTGGCCACTGTACAGTGTCCTTCATGCGGTCCCTTTCCCTTACTGGAGGGCAGCCCTGGCTGGCTGGCGTTTGATTCCCAGCAGAGCCTGGGTTTGCAGGGCAGCAGCTACTAGTCAGGTAATTTTAATTGACTGTATCCTGTCCCTCTGGTAGCCACCTGCAGTGACGCATGCTTTCTCTTTAGGGACGTGTTCTTGAGCAGCCTTGTGAAAATGCCCCAGTGGGGGCCGTTCCCTCTCTGTTTTCCTGTCATGGCCTTCCGTTTACTAGTTTTATAATCTCAACCATGGATTGCTTTTTCTTTATCATTTTCTATTTAACTCCATTTTGATTTCTGTTATTTCTTTGGCTTACGTTGGGCTTACTAGGATACAGGTGAAAAAGTAATTTTCACGAAAGCAAACTGGGCAGACGTGGTACATTGTAGTGTAGATGACTCGCGAGATTTTTTTGCTTTTTCTGTTTTGTCTATTGGGCTTTGTTTTGTTTTGTTTTTCCGTCTATTCATCTCACTCTGTTTCAAGCTCCAAATTTGAAGTCGTTCTGAAAATTACGAAAGTACTTGGAATTTCTGTAGAGAGACCCATCAGTGTTGGTTACCGGCATCCTAATGCCTGGACAAGAGACTTCTCTGAGGGCTGAGATTTTGTTCTTTCTACCACAGCTGCTCTTTGACCCACAAGACTTTGTAATGCTCACTGGGATTCAGCTCATCCGTTGTCTGTGTTCCCCAGTGGAAACGCTTGCTGGGGTGTCACACAGGGCCGAGCCTGTTTCCAGCTGGTTGGAGAAAGGGAAGTTTGTGTTGCTTTTGGGTTGTCTTCCAAATTCGAAGTAGAATTAAGGAATTTTTTTTTCACTAAATTTCTTTTCTGTAGTGAAGAGAAGCAAGTTATTTTTGAGACTGGGAGAATTTGGCTTAAAATTGGCTTCAATTTCTTTCATCTTTGTCTTTCATAGTCATCCATATGATATAAAATGTGGTACTGGAGAGATGGCTCAGTGGTTAAGAGCACTGACTGACTGCTCTTCCAGAGGTCCTGAGTTCAATTCCCAGCACCCACATGGGAGCTCACAACCATCCAGTTGTGAGATCTGGTGCCCTCTTCTGGTCTTCAGGCATGCATACAGGCAGAACACTGTATACATAATATAAATAAGTAAATCTTTACAAAGAAAAAGAAATAAGGTGTTATTAGAATTGGTGGGTGCTGCGGTATTTACGTTTCTCTTTCCTTTCTAACATTTAATGCTATATTTTATCTTCTAGATCCTGTTTGATCAAACTCAGAGATCAATTAAGGCACAGCTTCAGAACTTTGTTAAAGAGTAAGTCAGCTGCAGACCAGAGGGCAGAAAACAATCAACCAGTGGTTGCTGGGGTCGGGGAATGTGGTGGCCTGGGGGTATGACTAAAGATACCAGAAGAGAAAGAAATTATAAGGTCTCTGATTTCTGAAAATATTTGCTTGTTTGCTTTGTGAAATATGATTAATTTCTTTTGAGTTTGTGAGGGAATCAGATTCACTTTGAACATATGTTTTTTTCTATTTATTTATTTATTTATTTATTTACTTATGATTTCTTTCTCTTACCCATCGCCGCCCCCCATTTCCTTCCCCCACCCCCATCAAGTCCCCCTCCCTCATCAGCCCAAAGAGCAATCAGGGTTCTCTGCCCTGTGGGAAGTCCAAGGACCACCCACCTCCATCCAGGTCTAGTAATGTGAGCATCCAAACTGCCTAGGCTCCCACAAAGCCAATACGTGCAGTAGGATCAAAAACCCATTGCCATTGTTCTTGAGTTCTCAGTAGTCCTCATTGTCCTCTATTTTCAGCGAGACCGGTTTTATCCCAGGCTTTTTCAGACCCAGGCCAGCTGGCCTTGGTGAGTTCCTGATAGAACATCCCCATTGTCTCAGTGTGTGGGTGCACCTCTTGCGGTCCTGAGTTCTCAATAAAATACTGGCAAACCGAATTCATGAACATATGTTTAAGTAACACTTCGTTCTGGTTAGAATCCAGAAAGTTTTCTAAATGTATGTAAAAAAATGTAATTTAAAGGCCCCAAGGGTGGTTTAAGTACTTATTGTATTCACAGCTAGGTTGTCTTGTCTCGATGTGGTATTTTCTTTGAAGAGAAGATAAAAGATGAGAAAGAGCCACAGAAGTGACATGTTGTTATATGTGACCCTTTGGAAGAGATTCACCATGTTTACATATGAAATAAAATCAAAGTAAAAGTAAAAAAAAAAAGTCCAGATTTGACAAGTTAAGAAAAACTTTTTTCCACATTCATAATTTAGTTTTTCTCCTATGGTTTCCAACAGAGAGTTTATAAATGCCAGTTAATTCTAGTACAGTGTTAAAGATAAGTAAGGAGCCGAGCGGTGGTGGCACACACTTTTAATCCCAGCACTTGGGAGGCAAAGGCAGGCAGATCTCTGAGTTCGAGGCCAGTCTGGTTTACAGAGTGAGTTCCAGAACAACCAGAGCTACAGAGAAACCCTGTATTAAAAAAACAAAAAACAAAAACGAGGAACATTATAATATAGGAATAGTGTCAAATATCATCTACGGCTGTTTTGAGTAGTTTTGGGCTTGGGTTTTTCACATAGTGCTTAGGGCTTAGCCCAGTAGATTAGAATTAGCCTACAAAGATATCTCATAGCTCTGGGTTCTATTCTCTTTTCTCTTCTCTCTTCTCTCTTCTCTCTTCTCTCTTCTCTCTTCTCTCTTCTCTCTTCTCTCTTCNTCTCTCTCTCTCTCTCTCTCTCTCTCTCTCTCTCTCTCTCTCTCTCTCTCTCTCTCTCTCTCTTTCTTTTGAGATTTATTTGTCTAATGTACATTGGTGTTTTGCTTGTATGTCTGGGTGAGGGTGTTGTATCCCCTGGAACTCGAGTTACAGACAGTTACTCATAGTCCAAAATCTAGGGATCTAAAATAGTCCAAATCTGAAACTTTTTGAGCTCTCAGCTCTGAGCATTGGATTAAGCTACAGACCAGAAGTCTGTATACATGTCCCTGCGTCACGGGGAATCCCAGACCTGAACTTCCTTGGTTTGGGCATCTCGGGATACTGCCCGTGTCCGATGACACACGCGAGTGAAGGAACAATAGTGTGGAATTCTGAGGTTGTCTTGACAGAATTTTGAAGAAAGTTTTTTTTTTTTTTAAGAGATCTTAGAAAATTCAAAGATGCCAAGAAACAATTCGAAAAAGTCAGCGAAGAAAAGGAAAATGCACTAGTGAAAAACGCTCAAGTTCAGAGAAATAAACAGCATGAAGTGGAAGAGGCCACAAACATCCTGACCGCCACGAGGAAGTGCTTCCGGCACATAGCCCTTGACTATGTCCTTCAGGTATTGTCTTACCCACCTTCTGTCTCCCAGCAATGGTTACCTAGCAGGCTTCTTTAAGTGATTGTCCTAGGAAGAATACAGAATGCTTTTTCTTGGAATTTATTTATTTATTTATTAGAGATTTCTGCCTCCTCCCCGCCACCAACGCCATTTTACATTTTTGTAATTTAATGCTTTTTTGAGGTATCTTAGACTGGCCTCAATCTCACTGTGGCTGGCCCCATACTCAATGTGTAACCCATCCTGGCCTCAACTTGATACTTTTCTGCCTCAGTCTTTGGAGTACTGGGCTATAGGTCTACATTGTTACCTCCAGTGGGAAATATGACTTCCACCTGGTTATGTATGTCTTTGTGTGCACACAGGTATGTGAATATAGATGTCTTTGGTGCTGATTCCTTTTCTTTTTCCTTAGCTATAATATCCTATACACATTTTATTCTGCTGCCTTTCTTTTTCAGCTTACTTGATATTTGACTCTCAGGCTTAAATAGTGTTAGCTTTTACTGGCAACATTGAAAATATGTGTCTTTTTCAATTTTTCAAAACTTTTATTAGTGCTTCTTAACATAAGCCTCAAACAGCAACTTCTCAGGGAGTGCACCATGAGAACTGCTTTTCTGGGTGAAGCACCTGCTTCTCTTGTCTCCGAGCAGCATACGTGTGATCCGTACATGCTTAGTGGCACCAGCTTCAGTAGCTGCCGAAGGTGTCTGGAATTCATTGGAAACCCTAGGCCCATGGAGGATTTGACTCCCTATGGAGGTGGAAGACAGTAGCAGGCTGTATGGTTCCACCCGGCACACGGAGAGAGACAGAGATGTGTATTTCTTTATCTTTGGGTATGCATGTTTGTGAGCGTACATCTTTGCTTATGCGTGTGTGTGCACTTCAGATGTCACCCTCCAGAATACTGTCCATCTTCGTTCAGGCAGATCTCTCACTGGCCTGCAGCTCACCAATTAGGCTATCCTGGCCGTCTGGTGAGCGCCTGGGCTCCTTTTCATCTCTTCATCTTTGGGATTACAAATACCCGTTACCATGCCTGGCTTTTGTTGTTGTTGTTGTTTGTTTGTTTTTTGAGACAGGGTTTCTCTGTGTACTCCTGGCTGTCCTGGAACTTGCTCTGTAGACCAGGCTGGCCTTGAGTTCTCAGAGACCCCTCTGCCTCTGCCTCCCTAGTGCTGGGATTAAAGGCGTGCACCATCACTGCTTGGCATTTTTATGTGGTGTCTAGGAATTGAATACTGATTGTTGTGTTCAAGACCATCATTTTATTATCTGAACATCTCTCTGTTGCTCTATGTTTTTTTTCTATTTCTAGATTATTGTAGTTTTGTGTACATATGTGTATGTATGTGTGCACACACAAACTTGGGTGCCATGGAAATGTCTACATAAAATTATACACACAAATATATAATTATATGTATGTGTACGTATACAATATTATATATATATGTATATATAATACTTTTTTCTTGTTCACAGTTCTCTCATTGGCCTGGAGCTAGGCTAGGTTGAGTCCCAGGATTCTGCCTTTTCTCTTCCCCAGAGTGGGGATTTTAAGCATGTGCTCATGCACCCAGCTTTTTTCCATGGTTCTGGGGACTGACCTCAGGTCCTCATGCTCGTGTGGCCAGCATTTATAGACTGGGTAGTCCTGTTGTCCTAGAGTATTCCCGGCCTTCAGTCCCAGTGGTTGGAAAATAGTGTATTATTTTTGTCTTTTAAAGAGTGAATGATATAATGTTATGAATTTTGTGTATGATGGGCTAAGTTGCAATTTCTGTTGCTGTGATGAGACCCTGTGACCACAGCAACTTTTTAAAAAAAAAAAAAAAGATTTATTTATCATGTGTACAGTGTTCTGCCTGCATGTATGCCTGCAGGCCAGGAGAGGGCACCAGATCTCATTACAGATGGTTGTGAGCCACCATGTGGTTGCTGAGAATTGAACTCAGGACCTCTGGAAGAGCTGGGTCTTAACCTCTGAGCCATCTCTTCAGTCTAAGCATGGCAATTCTTGTAAAGGAAAGCATTTAATTATGGTGGCTCTTTTACAGTTCAGAGGTTTCGTTCATTATCATCATGGTGGGAAGGAAGGTAGCATGTAGGCAGACATGGTGCTGGAGAAGGAGATTAGAGTTCTTACATCTTGATTCGAGGTGTAAGGCACCAGGAAACAATCTGTCTCACCGGGTGTGGCTTGAGCACGTATGAGACCTCAAAGCCCACCTCCACAGTGACACACTTCCTCCAATAAGGCCACACCTACTCCAACAAGGCCACACCTCCTCATAGCGTCACTCCCTTTGGGGGTCGGTTTCCTTTAAACTACTGCTTGGGCTTTAGCTAAAATATCCATTATTTTCAAACTGAAACATAATAATTGGGCATTTCCTTTGAGTTCATGCGACAGTACTAAGTTAGCCTCCATGCTCACTCCCTTCTAACTATAATTTTTCTCTTGAGAATTCTTGGATCATTTTCTTTTGTGACCAAAGTAGCTGTTTTAGAGAATAATAGTAACAAATACCCCAAAGTGTAAAGTACACTTTTTGTCTTTTTCCTTGAGTTTGAATTTTTTTTTTCCAAATAAAGAGGACAAAACAAAAGCAAAACAGAAGCCTGAGTTGGAACAGCTCCCACCCCCCACCCTACAATGGGTGTCTGGGGGAATCTGAATAGGGCCCCCCCTCAGCCTACACTGGCTGTCTGCGGGAATCTGAACAGCCTCCCCTCCCCCAACCTGCGCTCAGCATCCGGGATCAGTGTATTTCTCAGAGTTGAACAGGCTGTGAAGCAGACAGGCAGAAGAAACCAGCTAGAAGGAAGAAAGTCAGATTTAGAGTTTTCTTGGTCTGTTTTTGTTTTTAAGACTGAGTTTTACAATTCCCTTATTAAATAGACCGGGAGTTCAGTGAGGAAGACATTTGGAAGGCGTTCTGTGCTGTTCTTGGCAGCATTAGCAAAGAGTGAGGGCCTCTTTTGGATAACGTTATATTTAAATAAGCTTTAAAAAAAAAAACAGCAAAAATACTTGTTAGGAATTCCTAGAATTGCAAAAGATCCTGTTAAAGCCTCCTTCCTCCTCGAACTCACTATGTAGCTTCAATCCTCCTGCCTCTATTCCCAGGGATTATTGACATGCACCATGACTTCTGTCTTGGGTAATCCTGGGCTTTTAATCCAGGCCTTTGTGCATGTAGGCGAGCAGTCTGCCAACTGAGCTTAACCCTACCCCCGAAAACTCATAATTATGCTGGCATTTCAGTAAGTCGATCATAATTAAAATACTTAAATCCATTACTTTAACATATATTTATGGAGTGCTTACTATGTTCTGCTTGGGGACTAGAACTGAGAAGAAGGCCCCAATCTCATGGTGATTTAGCTAGGGAAAAGACATAGTCAGAAAACAGCAAGTAAGCACCGGGGAGGCAGAGGAAGGCCTAGTCTCCATAGTGAGCTGGAACTCACTGTGACAGTCAGAGCTACATGGTGAGTCCCTGTCTTAAAAAGACAAAACAAAGAAAAGTAGTTATAAATGTTATCGCTAAGTAGAACGGATATAGCGGCTAGCTAGTCGGGGGCCGAGTTAGACCTGTGTGAGAGGATGGTGTGTACCTGAAGCCCGGGTTAGCAAGAGACAACTCTAGGTCATGAGGGCAGAGCATCCTGACATGGAGGCAGAACAGCCAAACCAAGGCATCCGTGGGACAGTGATGGTCTGGCAGGAGCCCAGAGAGGGCAGAGGAATAGACCACGGGGCTGGAGCGGGTGGCAGGGGCCTCTGCACAGTGGCTTTTGGGGACATGCTAGGAGGTTGCAGGATTTAGCACTGAAGGTAATGTGACTTTGTTTATATTGGAAAATCACTGTGGAACTGTGTGGAGAAGAGATTACATGGAATGAAGAAGGGAAACATTGACAGTCCAGAAAAGATAGAAAGTGGAAATGGTGATAATTTGCACTATGGCTATGGTTGAACCTGGATCTTCAAGTAGATGAGGGTGGAGGAAGATGGACATGCCACATGCTCAAGTACTCAAATGTCCATGACAACGCTGCTGTAATTCGAAGAACCAGTGTTTTCACTGAGCACGAGTGTAGTTGGGTATCCATTGGTATGCTTGTCGTAAGTCTTTTAGCCAAAAGAGGTTTAACAATGAAAACCCAAGCTTTGATTTTTCTTTTGTTTTGGGATCATTAGGACAGGCATGCTTAGAATCTTGTATTCTGAGTTAGTATTTAATTCACGGATGCTTAACCAAGTTTATCTTTCCTCAGATTAATGTGCTTCAATCAAAGAGGAGATCAGAGATCCTGAAATCAGTAAGATCTTAATGAAACACTGTTAACTGGGACTGTCTGTGTGTGTAGCCTCTGTAGTCTGACACTCTGTTATCTGATGGAATGCTGGTGTGGTCTAGATGCCGGAAGTGGCGTCCTACACTGGCGGGCGAGACCCTTGCAGGAATCAGATATGAGCATCACCTTGAATTTTCTGTTCCTTCTATTTCCTTTTATGTTTTGGGTGTTTTGTTTGTTTGTTTAATGAGACAGTTTCTTTGTGTAGCCATGACTGTCCTGAAACTCGCTCTGTAGACCAGGCTGGCCTCAAACTCAGAGATCTGCCTGCCTCTGCCTTCTTTGTGCTGGGATTAAAGGTGTGCGCCACCAATGGCTGGCTGTATTTGCTTTTAGAAAGTTTGTTTTTAAAAATATTTTTTTAGATTTCTTTATTTTATATGTACGTGTGTTTCATACATATGTATATGTACTACATGCGTGCCTGGTGCCTGCAAGGCCAGAAGAGGGACTGGAGTTACAGACAGTTGTGAACTGCCATGTGGGTGCTGGGAACTGAACCCCAGTTCTCTGCCAGAGCAGCCAGTGATCTTAACTGCTGAGCCCTTTCCTCAGCCCCCACTCCCCTTGGAGGGTCAAAGGACAGCTCGTGGAAATAAGTTCTCTTTTTCTCCCATGGGGATCCGGGGACTTGAACTCTGGGTGTTGGGACCAATGCTATCTTCACTGGCTGTCTTGCCGTCCCTACTTAAAGTTTTCAGATCTGGAAAAGGCTTTTAAAAAAAATAATACCAAATTTCAAGGCTTGTAAGCTGTTTTCACTGATAGTGTGTGAGAGCAGCCGTTTCTCTACTGATTTTTACTGGCAGTGGCATTATAGCCTTGTCTTGTCACCTTCCCCAGTGGTATGATAGACAGAAAATGAGATTTCCATATGAATTTTGCATTTTCAGAGTTCAGTCATTTTTCTGTATGTTTTCCTGGCTACTTACAGGATATATGTGTATCTTTTCTCTTCTTCTGTTGAAGTCTTCATGTTTTGTTCTGATCTGTGGCACCTTGTATGGATTCAGATCACTGGTCTTCTGCTGTGTTTTTCTGATTTATCATTTATTTTTTAATATGCTTAGTATGTATTTTGATATATGGGTGTATTACATTTTTAAAAATTCTTTTAACTTTTATCAGTTCTTTATGGATCTGACATCATGCATTCGGATCCTACCCATCTCCCAGTCCCCCGAATTTGCCCTCCGCCACTGCACCCTCTTCCCCTAAACAAAATAAAATTTAAAAGAAAAACCAAAAAGCCAAAACAAACCAACAAAACAAAAGCAAAACAAAGAAAAATCTCATTGTGGAAGTTGTAGTGTGCCCTTGTGTATTTTACATTTTTATATAATCTTATTAATTCTTTATAACTCAGTAGTTTGAAAAATATTTTCACACAGTTATATAATTATTACCATTATCTAACACTATGTAATTTTTATATGAGTTTTATCATTAATCTTTGAATTTTACTTAGCTTCTTTATATTTTGAAAACATTTTTTTTTTCTGTAGAGGATTCTTGAATATCAACACCCTTTTGCCCTACATTAGTCTTCAGAATATTAAACAGATGTCTGTTCTTGCTAAAAAATAAAGCAGGACTTTGGAGATCATTTGCATACATTTAATTATATATAATTCCTTCCCATGTAAAAACCGAACTAATGAAAACAGGAGTGTCTTTTCTTCTGGGAATTAATAAAATACAGAAAAAGCTGGGAGCCCCCACTCCTTACTTAATGTCAGTTTTGAGTCTGTGGGATGCATATAAAGAAATCCCCAGGGCCAGTGAGGGGGCTCTGCAGGTGAGGACACCTGCTGCTGACCTGATGTTCCGAGTTCAGTGGCCAGACAGGGAACTGACTCCTGCAAGATCTCCTGGACCGTCACACTCCCCAGGTGTGTGTGAACACACACACACATACTGCACAAAAATAAATAAGCAAGCAGTTTTCTAAAAACAGAAAAGTCTATGTCATCCCCACTTGTATCTAATTTTTTGTTAAAAGGAGTAACTGAGAGTCCGTCCACCTCCCTGTGGCTGGTGTCCCTGGTAGGTTAGAGTGTCCCCACACCTCCCTGGGGCTGGTGGCCCTGGTAGGTTAGAGAGTCCCCACACCTTCCTGGGGCTGGTGGCCCTGGTAGGTTAGAGTGTTTGCTACTGTTGACATATCTTCTCTTCTCTGCTTAGGGAGTTTTCTTCAAGGACCAAATAGACATTTCAGATGTACTTAAGAATTAAGTTCAGTGAGGCTATTGAGAATGTTATTTAAATCACCTATGTATCTTTTATTTGGCTCTAAACAACTACAGTTGTTAAGATGCCAAACCACTGGGTTTTTCTCTTAGAAAAATTGTACTTTTTTTGTATTTACAAATATTTATGAAGTTCTTAAGAAAAAAAAAAAACAACTCCATTTTAAGTAGATTTGACACTTTGAGTCCTTGTGGAGTGACCTGAAATGTGGGGAGGACTCCAGCTTTTTTCGCTCCCAGCACGCCTCTGAGCTGATACCCCTCTCTCCCCTTAGATGCTGTCCTTCATGTATGCACATCTGGCCTTCTTCCACCAAGGCTATGACCTGTTCAGTGAGCTCGGGCCCTACATGAAAGATCTTGGAGTGCAGGTAACCTCTTGACTGGACTTGTTGATTCTGGGCTGCTTGTTGGTGTGCGTGTCTCTAAAGATATTTAGCATATGGTAATCTGGCTTCTCACTTACTTATAAGGAGTTTGGCACTGGAGCACATTCACACGTGGGTTAAAGGTTGAGCTAGAAGTGAACTTAAAGGTGACAATGCCTGTGTTGAATATTGACATGAGGGTTCTGAAGAAGGAACTCTTCCGGCAGGTCCGGTGCATAGCTGTGGTCCTAGTGCCTGGGAGTGAAGCTGAGGCAAGCTGAGATACAGTCCACTTTTTATACTACAAATAGTAGGATTTAGTCCTTTACTTTTTAAACTAAGTCAGTAAGCAAGTTACTGCCTTAGTTTGCTTTTATTTAAGACATTGCTTTTTTCATTTTCAAAAATTTATATTGGCTGCTTGAATAATGAAAGTCTTAGAATCATAAAGCTCCCAAGACCATTTATCTTTATCTCACAAAGATGCATCAAAATGTTTGCCCCCCCCCCCACTTGGTGGTGGCACTGTGGCTCAAATACAAATATAGAGCCTTAATGCATGCTAGGCATGTGCTTCACCACTGACTTGGCCCAAGTTACTTCGGACGGTACTTTGTATTGGGTGATGAACCTTCTTACTCTGATATAATAGTATTCATCTGTAGGCTTTTCTTTCCCAGTATACTTTGTGAGGTGAGAGAATAAGGAAAAAAATAGAATTTAGGGAAATGGGAGAAAGATAAGAGAGGAATGGGAATACCATTCAATGTTCAAAGTATATGTGTGGGAGGGGAGGAGGGAGAGGGGGAGAGAGAGAGGAGAGGGGAGGGAGGAGGGAGGAGGGAGAAAGGAGAGGAGGAGGGGGGAGAGAGAGGAGAGCGGAAGGATCCTGTGCAGAGCACATGCTGTGAATTCCATGCTTTCTGTTTTTCGTCTTCTGCCATGGGTCGTGTCCATGCCAAATGCTCTGTGTATGTGTCAGGTGAGGTAGAGTTTGTTTGCAGCCCAGCCTGAGGAAACTGGGACTTCTGTAAGAGAATCTTGGTTCTTTTATGTAGAGTCAGAAGCACAGGTCCATGGGTATTTGTGTCACAGTTAGCCTCGTGGTTAAAAGTGACTTATCAATCTTAGCCATCATTCTCACACTCCAGCTAACAGAGGGGAGGGAAGGGAAGAGAATGGTGCATATTGTCTGTCTAAGGACATTTCCTAGAAATTGTGTATGTCCATTCTGCGTACATCCCAGTGACCTGTGCTCAGTCACTCATTGCAAGGAAACCTGGGAAATACAGCTTCGTTGCCAGAAAATGATCTGGCAGAATTAGGTGTGGGGTGTTCCATTGTAAGGGAAGAGGAGGAAATAAATACTGGGAATAGTTAACCTTTTATACTGCAGAAGAGGGTAGCGTGATGTACAGACATGTAGCTTAGACATCTGGTCCAACATCTGTGTAAGGTCTTGAGGTAGGGGTGCAGCTCTGGGTAGAGTACCACAAACTCTAGAACCAAAGTTAGATCAAATTCTAAGGAATCTAAAACGGGCTGGAGGTGAAAGATTTTAGCTAGGTCACAAAAGCCAACTGCTCTGTCAGTGACTATACAGAAACATTAAACACACCACACACCACACAGACACATACAGACACACACACCCACACACCACACACAGACACAGACACACGCAGACACACACCCCCCCCCTCTGGTCCAGGCCTGGTGGGAGGGTCACACCCTGCTGTGTTCTAGGCAGTCTTTACATCTCATTGGCTTACCGTTATGAGATCACGTTGGCAGCAGTTATGAGGATCATGTGAATTGGGTTGTAGTAGACTAGTGGGAATGATTGGTTTTATCTATTTATAACTTTCAGTTTTGTGTTCTTCCCCTTCTAAACCAAGTGATTTTGCAGGCCTTGAAAAACATGTATTAAACCACATGTTCTGTAGTGGTCTGTTTAGATGTGTTCAATTAAGAGAATCTTGTAGTAGTTAAGTAAGAAGAAATTAACAGTTGGAACTACAGAATTAATATTCTTTTATTATTTTGTTTAATTTAACCCCACCTGCCCCCAAGCGTGTGGCGAGTGATGGGTCGTGTCTGTTGACGGGAGCTTGCGACCTTTGCCTTTCCTAGTTCAGCTGTCAGCTGCATTGCCTTATGCTAGTGCTGGAATAATAATAATAAAAATAATGCTTTTGTGCGTGCGCATTGTTTTGTTTATCTTGTCTGCAGCGACGAGCGTCTTCTAAGTGGGTCAACAGGCACTTTAGTTAGAGTCCTTGTCCTTTAAGGATGGAACACACACGGCTGCAATGCTCAAGACCAGGCCTCCAGCTCGGAAGCCATTCCCCCTAAGAGATCTGCTTTCTCAAAAAGGATTTAATGCTAGAAAAATGTGAATTTCTACTCAAGTGTTTAGCCAAAAATGCCCTTTTAGGTTAACATTAATCGGTTGATTTCTATTTATCTGTAAAATAACTTGGACTACGGTTTACCAAATACCTTTGTTTCTTTGACTTTTAAGTCTGTAATTTTCTTCTTTTCTTAAGTTGGATCGACTGGTTGTGGATGCCGCAAAGGAGAAAAGAGAGATGGAGCAAAAACATTCTACTATCCAGCAGAAGGTATGGGGCAACTCAGATCGACTTGCGTTTGTGGGAATGTTAGTGAATGTAGCTACCATTTCTACACAGGTCCCCTCAGTCGCTTGTTCAGTAAACCGTTCTCTTTGTGAAAGTGAACGTGCTAGATGTTAGTGCTTGCATTTTGTTATCTTCTCAGAGCAAAACATTTGCAAGCTAGATTCTCGAGCCAGTTTATAAATACTGCCTATCTAAAGGTTACAGCTTGTTAACATCTTGGCTATTATTCACAGTATCATTTAGGACACTGACAACCACCTGCCAAAGTGTGCATGCATGTATGTGTGTGGGCACAAGGCAGGGCATGAGTGTGTTCATCTGTACACATATGTGTATGTCTGTGTGAGAGAGAATGTGTGCACATTCTCGCTCTCCTCTCTCTCACTAACTTCCTAGCTGCCTCCACTCCGGGGCAGCTCGGCACATCCCTTCTGGACCCTCATTGCTTGTTAATTGCCTAAGCCTAGCTAAACTATTCTTGACAAATACTTTTAAACATGAGGATTCAATAGAAATTTGTGTTAACTTCTTTATACAAGAGTTGAGTGTATTGTGTCTGTACTTCACAGGTAATAGTCTGCGATGGGTTGGTGCAGTGACCCAAGCATAAAGGCAAATTAGGGATTGGATAGTTCTCTAGCGTATGGTGAAGATCCTTCTGCATGCTGTAAGAGATCTGTCCTCTCGATAAGCAACCGGGCCATCTTTGTTACAGATTACTTAGATTGGATCAGACATAGAAGATGTAAATGGGGAAAAAATGAAGTGAAATCAGGAGCAGGTATAAGACAGAAATAATTGTTCATGCTCAAAAATAGCATTTAGAGAAGGGAAGACTTTTTTCTTAGGCCTTCTTTACGTCAGTCACTTTTAGTTACTAGAGGAGGAGGCTAACTCCGTATTTCCTTTTGTTTAAAGACGTGATCTGTCTGTATTCCCATCCTAGCTTTGACCTCACAGCCCTCCCACTCCCTCCTCCTGTGTGCCTGGGATTACAGGTGTGCACCATCATCCCAGCTCTGGTTTAATTTGCAGGTCTTGACTTGCTGCTCCCTTTCTTCTGCTTGCCCTGTCTCTCCAGAGTCTTGCTATGCAGCTCAGACGGGCCTTGAACTTATGACCCATCTGCCTCAACCTCCTGAGTGCTGGGATGATAGCTTCACACCACCGTGCCTCCCTCTTCTTTATGCTTAGGCTATACAACATGCCATTTTGATGACTCACTTGTTTTAATGGTGTTAGTGTCACATGAATGCTAAAAGTAAGATGACAAATTATGTTTCAAAAACTATGTGATTGTTGATAAAATTGAATAAATTTTTTAATGTCTTTTTATATATTTGTTCAGTATTACACTGAAGGTCTCAAACTGGTAAACTGTCAAATAGGAGATGATTTGACTTTAAACAATGCACAACTGCCTTTATTTAAGAAAATAATGCTCTTTTTACTCATTGTGAATACTTTCTCTGCCCCTAAATGCTGACACAGGCTGCATTACAGGTAAATAAACAAACAAGCAAACAAACAAAGTCAACTGAAATGTAAGGGAAAGCATTTCTGATACTTTTCAGTTGTTTTATCAATTGTATTGATCAGTGTGAGAAGTAGCGATGCTGTGAGTGCCTGTCTGTCTGTCCTGCCCGTGCCTTGGCGTGTCTTTAGATGAACACTAACGGAATAGAGCTGCTGTGCCAAACAGCGTGCATGTGCCCACCGTGTCGAGGACGCTGGCAGACAGCACCGAGGTTCCTGATGTTCTCACCACTACACTGTGGATATGGACGTGGCATTGTGGTTATAATTTCTGCATCATCAGTAATTTCATTATATCTTCAGGTCATTAGTGGTCCCTGTTTATGAAATATCTACTCTCTTTTCTTCGATTTTACTCTCAGGCTTTTTAGCTGATGACCAAGTTCTTCATATATTCTAGATATAGGTGTTTTAGGTTTTCAGCCCTGTGTCTAGTGCTTTTGTTATTGGTTTAGCAATTCCCATCACAAAGATCGCAAATACCTCTTCCACATAGCTTTGCTTTTCATGTTTATAGCTTTGTTTTATTTGTTTGTTTTTTGTAACGATTCTGGAGACTGAGCCTCGGGCCTCATGTATGACAGGTAGATGCTTTGTCGCCGAGCTCTGTCCTCGGCACTGGCATTTAGCTCTGTAACTCGTGTAACTGGGTTCTTGTGTGTAGTGGGTAGAAATCTACTTCCTCCCGTCGATGGATTATCGCTCTTGGTGAGTTAGCAGGCCTCCTCCTCCAGTGCTCTGTGTTATGGCATGTGGCACGTGTTACTCCCCACACCTCTCCTATCTGAGGCGCTTTCTGAACTGTCTTTCCATCCCATGGTCGTTTTGTCTTAATTATCCCAACACACCACTGTCTCAGTTGTTCTCAGCTTTACAGTAACTTTTCATGTCTGAGTAAGCAAAGCTTCCACCCCCTCTTTCTGCACACTGAGTTTTGTATACTCACAAACTCCAGGAGTAATTTTGTATACTCACAAACTCCAGGAGTAATTTTGTTCTATAACAGGAACTTTTTGGGGGATTGAAGAGATGACTCAATGGGTTCAGCGCTTGCCACACTAGCCTGGTAGTCTGAACAAAGTTGTCCTCTGACCTTCCTGGGTGCTGGGACATTTGTTAGTCTTCCTTCAGGATACACACAGCAGTAATTCATTTTTTAAAAGGCTTTTGGAATTTTGATCGAGGTTATATTGAATCTGTCACAGTCTTATTCTACCTTTTTTTAAAATTCTCTTAATGACTTGCATGAGGTTTTATGATTTTCTTACATACCTTTGTTTAGGTGTATTCCCAGACCCCTACATTACAAATGTTCCTATAACTACTGCCTTTAGAAAGTCTCTGTTCTGTTTGGGCAAGATTGATTTCCCATCAAAAACATCAAAAGTGTTGATTTTATACCCAGCACTCTCATTGATGCTCTCCCTGTGTTGATTTTATACCCAGCACTCTCATTGATGTTCTCTCTGTATTGATTTTTTACCTAGCAATCTAATGCTCTTGATGCTGCTTTCTCTCTGAATTCTTTTGTGTACAGTGTCCTCTCTGTAAGCAACATCAGGACAGTGTGCATTCTTTCTTTCCACCCTTCACCTTTGTCGCTGCTCTGGTTGACTGGACCTTTCTGATAGTCTTGACTGGTGGTGGTAATAATGGTTCTTCTGGTCTCACTTGCAGGCTCAGTGGAAATGCTTTGGTTAGCTGTTTCCACTCACCCTTCTTAGTCAAGCCATCTGCTTCCTGGGCCCTGCAGGAAAGAGGCAGATGTCCTTGTTCTATCGATCTGTCTTCCAGTTTTTCTTCGCTCCAGTTGCCTTTGAGTGTCCCCTCCTAACTGTCAGATTATGAACGCATTCACAGAGATTCCAGAAGCAATATTGCATCCACTGTTACTAGCTGCTTACATATGGAACGTCCTGCAGTGTATCACATCTGAGTACTTTATTAAGGGACATTGATAATAGAAGACTCATAAATCTCAAGAAGTAGTCGAGAATCCACATTTACAGTGCATTGCACATTGAGCTAATTCTTTTTTATGCTTTATATTATTACTATTTGGTATCAGTACTATTATTACTATTTTGGTGTTGCACATGCTGGACAAGCAGACCCCATCGAGCTGCACCCCTAGCCCCATTATTTATGCTCTGAGTCTCGTAATGATTACAAAGAACCTGCAGATGCCTCAAACACAACCTTTAGTCCTCCCCAGAAACTAAAAGTAAAGCCAGCATGTGACGCCAGTAGTGCCACTCCTGGGCCTGCTCCTGACTATGTAAGGGAAGCGCACCCCAGAGATGCCGGCACCCCAGAGATGCCAGCACCCCAGAGATGCCGGCACCCCAGAGATGCCAGCACCCCAGAGATGCCGGCACCCCAGAGATGCCGGCACACTCGCGTTTCCTGCTGCACTTCACAGTGGCCAGGACGTGGAGCCACCCACGTGTCTTCAGCAAACATGGGACATGTTCATACACATGGGCACACAGAGTTCATTTAGCCTTAAAGAAGAGTAAAAGTATGTCATTTAAGGAAGACAGAAGTGGAAACAGAATAGGCAAGTATCAGAAAGATAAATAGTAAGTTCTTTCTCATATGTGGAATCTAGCCCAATATATTAATACTAAGTACATGAAATCTACACATATGAATATGTCATAATGAAACCCTATATTATATTCTATGTTGATTTAAGATGTAAAAGTAAAAGCACAAGAAACTTTTAAGATGTTGTAAAGGTGAGGGCCGGGAGGACAGCTCATTTGGTGTAGTGTGCGCTATGTAAGCATGGGGCCCTGTGGTCAGTGGTCAGATTCCAGGGACCCTGAAAAAGGCTGGGCGCCGTGGCCTACACCTGTGGAACTAGTACTAGGGGACTGGAGTAAGGTGAACCCCTGGAGCTTGCTTGCCAGCTAGTGTTGCCAAATTGGTGAGTTCCAGGTTTATTGAAAGAACCTGTCTCAAGACATAAGGTAGAGTACAATCAAGGAAGATCCCTAACGTTGATTCCTGGCTTCACATGCGTACACGTGCTCACTCACATATGCACAGATGAACATGTACACACGTACAAAGTATACATATGTTGCAGAATTCAGTTAAGTCTGGTTACTGCGCAGTGCACTCTGCTGTGAATGATGGCTGGGTTTATGTGCTTGGGGCAGAGCACTTGTCTGCTGTGTTTAGAGTTCTGAGTTCAGACCATACATGAAGTACACATGCACATACATACACAGAGAAATGTGAATTTAAAAATAGGTGTACACATAGTTTTAATGAAGGAACTTGTTTTCTATTTTTTCCAAAGAGAAAAATGTAGAAATATAACTATTCATTTATAGACTGACTTTTTATGCTTAAAATTTTTGGTTTTTGAGAAAAGGTTTCTCTGTGTACCAGTCCTGGCTGTCCTGGGACTCATTTTGTAGACTAGGCTGACCTTGAACACACAGAGATCCACCGGCCTCTGCCTCCCAAGTGGTCTTAAAGATGTGCAACTACCTCCTGAATACCGCCTGGCTTTCTTAGAGTCCTGAATTCAACCTATTTCCGTTTCATGTTTTAGCATGTTCATGTGAGGAAGCCCTGGGAGGATTCTCACCCGCTTTCCCTCTAATCCTGGTTTCTCACAGCGAAGCATCATCCATTCTGCAGAAGAGCTATCATAGGTAGAAGTCTGGCTTCCAGGGCTAGAGAGAAGGCTTCCAAGTTAAGAGCACTTGCTGCTCTTGCAGAGAGCCAGAGTTTGGTCCCCAGCACCCTGAATTGTTAGTGTGTTGAAGCACGTCTCTGTTGTTATGTTCCTTCTCCCGAGTTTGTGTAGGACTTACTGCAAACTTCTTTCAGCTCTTTTCCCTGGTTACATCTCTTTCTGGAAACACCGTTGTCTGAACTCGTGTGTCTTGTCTAGGACTTCTCCAGTGACGACTCCAAGCTGGAGTATAATGTCGATGCTGCGAATGGCATTGTCATGGAAGGGTATCTCTTCAAGCGAGCCAGCAACGCCTTCAAAACGTGGAACAGGTAACAGACTTCAAACGTTCATTGTGATTTTAACATGTCTGCCATTCTCTGCCTTTCCTTGTAATTGGCAACTCATTTTCCCCAGAACTATCTAAATTCTAAAAATTCTTACTGACTTTCTTTAGTACAGTCTACCGAATCATAAGGGTCAGGTGAAGAGTGAAAATACAGATTTTTAGATTTGAAACTAAGGGCTTAAAGGAGAAAACTAGATTTTTTTAAAACTCTTGGTCTATACTGACTAAATTCTCATATATATATAAACACACATACACATATATATGTATATATGCATATATATGTGTACACACACACACACACACACACACCACACCACACCGGGCTACAGAGCTAGTTCCAGCTCAGCCAGGACTACACAGAGAAACCCTGTCTCCATCCTCCCACCTCCCCACCCCCCGCAAAGTAAAAATTTGCAGGTCTTAAGCCCAGGTAACCCTGAGCTTTTGGCCTTTGTAATAACACGTAAGTAGGACATGAGAAGTCATGATAGTCATTATTTCTTCATTATAAATGTAATGGCTAGCAAACACTTTGAATTTTTACTTATTTTTTGTTGTTGTTTATTTTGTTTGTTTGTTTTTTCTAGACAGGGTTTCTCTGTATAACAGCTCTGGATGTCCCGGAACTCACTCTGTAGACCAGGCTGGCCTCGGATTTACAGAGATCTGCCTGCCTCTGCCCATTAAGTGCTGGGATTAAAGACGTGAGCCACTACTGCCTGGCTTGATTAATATTTACAAAATACAAAACTATTGAATGTCTTACAAGAATGGAATTATAGCCAGGTGTCATGGCAGGCACACCTGTAATCCTACCCACGAAGGCAGAAGAATTTTGAGTTCCTGGCCAGCTTAACTTGCAAAGTATGATCTTGTGTCAAAAATCACAAAACAAAACAAAAAAGAAAATATGAAGTATTTTACTATATTGATATGAAGTAATTTCATGCCTAGCAGCATTGAAAGGCGCTCGGCTCCAGTCGTCCTTCTGATGTTAGTGCTTGGTCTTTTACTCAGGGATGCCGTTTTCCCATTTGTTTAAATCAAAAAAGGACAGTTTTATAATAATTGAGAGTGGTGTTTGTGTTCTGGGTAACTGATTTGCTATTGCAGGGTTGGATGAAATGTCTTCTGTGGTAGCGGCAGGTAGGCATTCACCCAGTGATGGAGATGTTCCTAAAGGCGGGTTATTGCTAAAATCAATAGGTCTCCTATTAATGTTCATTGGGTGTACATTGTGTTAATTTAATGGGAGCCTCAGTGCTGTATTGAGATGGATTCTGATTGCACTTACTTAGATTTCTTGGTGTTGAAGTTCGAAAGCTCTCAGTGACATTTTTAAATGTCAGTGGTTTATTGAGCATTTCTCTAGTGTTTGATGTTGTAGGAAATCTAAATGGTACATGATTTTATTTGAATTTTTCTTCATTTGAGAGTGAATAAGCTGAAAAGACTGAAGATATTTAATATTAAGCCTCTGAGTTATGCAGAACTTTTAAATAAGATATGGGTACTGGAGGACCGTTATCGTGATCTGGTTATCACTAATGCTTCCAGTTATTACACAGTGAAAATGAAAAATTAAAATTGTGTTTCTTGAGCTGAAATGTAAAACTATGTTCCCTTTAAGTCCTTGGCAAATTCTGTAGCTTGTGTAGGAAACTAGAAACAACGAGTGCGCAATAATTTTATAAGATTATTCAGCCACTGTGGTTTCATAGTGTGATGCTAGAATTGAAATGTAACCTTCGGATTTGCACCTCCTTAAAGCTTAAGAAAATGAAAGCCAAGATGTATAACCACTTTGCATTTCCACCCTAGCGAGAAATGTGATCTCGGACTACAAAGCGAAGCACAGCTAGTCTTAGTGGGAGGGCCATTGCAGACCTCCTGTTCAGAGCAGTAGAGTAAGTTCAACCAAATGTGGGCCTTCTCAGTGTTTGATGAGTCATATTGACGCATTGACACTAAAGCAGAAGCGAGATCAAGTTGGAGCATCGCAAACCTCTGCTGTAGATGTGCCGTGTCTGCAGGGTGGGAAGGCATCCCTCAGACGTGGAGCTGCTGGGTCAAGGGCTGTCTGTGACCGCTGCAGTCAGCAAGGACAGGGAGATTTAGTGAGATGGCTGAAATTAAGACGGATTTATTTTTCTCATGGTTTTGTAGTCTTGAAATTAAAGATTGGATGACGTCATTGAGGGAGCTTGTGTTGCTGGTCTGTGTTTCGGAGCAGAGCTGTGTGCCTGAGATCTTGAGACAGAAAGTCAAATAGCAGGAAGGGAAATGACCAATTCCCGACAACGCACGTCCTTCAGGAGACCAGCACTGGTCCCTTGCACAGGCAGCGTCTTCAATGATGTAGTCACCGAGCACAAAGGCCCCGCCCCCTAAGGATTCCCCCCTCCTAGCTGTGCCACACTGGGAGCCAGATCTCGTGCAGAACCTTCAAGGGGACAGATGATATGCAGAATACAGCAAAAATTAGACAGGCGAGAGCAGGGATGAGGCGTATCAAATGCCTAATCTCAGGACGTGCAAGTAGTGTCCCTCCATTCATGTAATTTATCATAATACAGTCTGCTCCTCTAAGTAAGACTCTATATTCCTTAATATTAAAAACATCTCAGGGACTGGGCGGTGGTGACGCACGCCTTTAATTCCAGCACTCGGGAGGCGGAGGCAGGCGGATCTCTGTGAGTTCGAGGCCAGCCTGGTCTACAGAGCTAGTTCCAGGACAGGCTCCAAAGCTACACAAAGAAACTGTCCCAGAAAACCAAAACCAAGCCAAACAACCATCTCAGAATCCACCTCTCTCTTCAGATATTAAGCTTTTCTATTCTTTTTATGAAATTATATCATATTTTCAGAATCAACTATCAAAGATCTCCATCCTGAGGGATATGTGAATGTGAATAAGAATTCCCAAATGTTAAAAAAAATCTCCCTCATGCTTCATAAATTACACTTTACTTTAAAAGCAGTGTCTAGTATTGTATGATGCAGAATGGTAATTATGTTTTGTGTGTGAGGGCGGATGGCATAAGAATGAGAAGTTCATGGCCTATATGCATTGCCAGTCATGTTCCTGCTAAATCCCAGAGTTCTTGTTGGTGGCATCTGAACATGTAAATGTTTGATACTGTTAGCTCTATGTATGATCTCACACTTACGGACTCACCCAACTGAGAATCAACAATTTTGAGAAACACCAACTCTGTACTTAACATGGAGTTTTTTTCCTTGTAATTATTTACTCTTTTAAAAAAATGCAATAATACTATTTACATAGCATTTACATTATAATAACAGTTGTAAGTAAATCTAGAGGTGATTGAACTCAGTTAATTCAAGTCGCAGGTGGGAAAATCAACTGAGTCCAGAGAGGGCTGCATAGCCAGTCTTACTGTTTCTCTCTCTCTTCCTCCCTCCCCCCTCCCTCCCCTCTCTCTTCCCCCTCCCTCTCATCTGTCTCTCCTTCATACACTCATGTATTATGATTAAATGCAAACGCTGCATTTTGTCTTAGAGAACTTGAGCATCCTTAGATTTGGCTATACCGACACCAAGGGACTGCATGCAACAATGAGCTTTCTTATTAAGTTATTTTCTCAGTATGCAGTTTCAGTTCAGACTTTGAACACTGGACCGTATGTCTCTCTTCTCTGCCTCACAATGAATTTGGAAAGGAGGAATAACAAAGAAAACAACTGTTAATGTAACTTAGTATTTAGTTGGAAAGGCTAATAAAAGAAGCAGACTCCAGAAAATATAACCCAGCATAAAATGTATTATACAAAATTTGAAAGCAAAATGTTCTATATACTGCTGGTACAGATAAAAATGTTTTTGGTTTTTTGAGACAGGGTTTGTCTGTGTAGCTTTGATGCCTGTCCTGGAACTCTCTGTAGACCAGGCTGGCCTTGAACTCACAGAGATCCTCCTGCCTCTGCTTCCCAAGTGCTGGGGTTAAAGGTGTGCACCACCGCCTGACCTGATAAATTTTTTTTATTGGCTTTTGATTTAAAGTAAGAAGTATATACCTAGACTAAAAATGAGTCTGCTGGGCAGAGTGTGCATTCCCATGGTCCCCAAACCTGGGAGGGTGAGGCAGGAGGATTACGTGAGTTAAGTCAGCCTAGGCTACACAGCCAAGCCCTGTCTCCACCTTTCTGCTTTTCTTAAAATCACTGAGTGAGTCATGTTTATGCGTGGCCTTAAAGTCTGTCGTCATGTGATGAAGGTGGATGGGGATCGGTGGGAGGTTTACTCGGTCACTATTTTATGATCTTTGAAATTCTCAATTAGTCACCCCATTTTCTTTCCAAAAAGTTTTTATTGGCTGAAGGTTTCTGTAGGTAAAATGAGTGCTTTTCCTCCTTCCTTCCAGGCACAGCCTATTGAGGTGTGGCACAAGGCTATCTGTATTTTCTAGTTAGGACCATAGAGGCAGACAGTCAAAATAGTAATAATAAGGTAATGGTAATATAATAATTCAAATATTTGCAAAGTATTTCAGTTTCTTAAGAATTGAAATTCTGCAAAATGTATATGTTTATAATAAAACACACGATACTCTACTCGGACCGCATTGTTAAGTTGTTAGCTTACGCTCGTTTCTTTAGTGTTTTTTTTTTTTTTTGTCTTATTTTTGTATCATGCTGGCCCTTTGCTTATTTGCATTTTCTTTCTTTTATGCCTTTCCCTGTTGTTTTAACCCTGCCCCATTTTTTCACATGACAGGAAAAAACCCGATCACATCAGGTACCAAATAGCTTCCTGCCTTCCTCTTCTTATCCAGTTTCCTCTGTAGCACGAGAAAGCCTGATTAACCCATGTTCAGTTGGATTACTTGCAATGGATAAAAAAAATCTCTTTATGCTCTAAATTGGAACAAAAATACAAGTGTTTATTTGAGGAAGAGACCTTTTGGTCGCCCCTGACCTCAGTTGGTTTGATCTGGGGAAGGACGGCTGATGCAGTCGATGCAGACCAAGTGTTAGGCACACCCTGTGACATGTTTTTTGACATAAAATAGTGACCTGTGTTTAGGATGGAGCAGCAGCTGGGATGAGAGAGACTCCCTTGCCTGGTCATAGGTGCTCTCTTCTGCTTTATTCCCATGGAAACAGCAAATTGAATTGAATAAATCAGTGCATTTGGCCTTTAATTTATATTAAATGGTTGGCTAGCACCAAAATATGGCCCCATAATTTATAGAGTTCTAGTTATAAACCTTTTTCAGATTTAGAACTGTAACTTTTACCAATATTTTTGATGTTGAGAACAAACATAGCAAAATATATTTGATTTTTATAAATTTATTTTTTTCCCATTTAACCTAAAATTGGCCAACTGGAAATTTTTCTTCATATGTAATAGTATTTATTTTTTAAAAAATAGATGTAACATTTTGGTTTAAATTATACTAAATTACTTTTATTGACACAGATACAAAATGTGTTTTACTTTCTTACACATAAGAGACTAGAAGCCAACTATACTTTGTGCTCTACTTTTTAGTCTTGTAGACTGTGTACTCTGTTAGCACAGTGATTTCCAAAGCTTGTCTCTTCACTCTAGTTACAGTTTATGTAGTGCTTTAAAATTTCCTGCAAGAAGTGCTTCAAATACTAAGTATTTCTCTGTATGTAGGTAATTCATAGGCTGCGAGCTGTTCATCATACGTTTCCTTTCTTGGAAATATTAATAGTCACTAGTATTATTTTATAGGAACAGCTAAAAACTCTATCCCAGTGGTTGGAAAGAGAACTCAGTCACTAACGTGCTTGCCTTGCACATGAGAGGACCTGGGTTTGATCTCTCACCACCCCCACACAAATGTCGGGTGTGGTGTCATGTGACTGAAGAGGGAGAGACATATAGATCCCTAGGGCTCGACAGCCAGCTGCTCTACCCATTCGTGAGTATACGAGACCTTGTCTCAAAGGAGTTGGGCAGTGCCCTAAGTATGATCCCCAAGGCTGTCCTCTGGACTCCATGTGCATGTGCATATATGTGCATGCACACTAGAGCACACGCATGCACTCCCCAGATATGCACATATATAAGTTTCGTTACCTTTAGGTACCTGGTTAAAGTTCTGGTTGGCATTGGTTGTGTGTCTCTAATGGTAGCAGAAGGAAGATAGTGTCAGACTAACTCATCTTTATAATTCATTTTTCCCTACCTATGATGTATTATTATGCTTTCTTTAAGGAAGTAGCAAATGAAGAGAAATTTGTACTGTCTTTTCTAAGTATTTTACAAAATCCAGTGATGGAAAAATGTCACCCAGAAGCAGATGAATATCAGGGAAACTGACCTTCAGAAATACATATGCTCCATAAGGCTAATAACTGGAGGGCATGGTCTCCGATGGAACCGGGGCATTTATCTAGTTATTATTAGTAGTATTTCTAGGGAACACTGTCCCAAGATGGACCAGGTCAAAAGACCTCAGAAGCATGAAAAGTTTGCATTTTTATATGGATGTCTTTTATTTAATAAAAGTGTAGTTTTTCCCAACTGTGTGAGATAACCACTATGATACACAGCCCGTACATTTATTAATATAGTTCGCCCTCCTCAAATGAATTTTATGACAACATTTTAATCAGATTCAGAGATTGTCTCCATTGCATGTCATCCCATGTGGCAGGGTGCGCCATTTGGTTTGTGTGTAGGACTTTGATCTAACATTTCTAACCGGCTGCCTGTCCCCACGAGAGCCGTGGAATTCTTCCTTTTCTGGTCTGTTGATTTGCATTCAGCGGCACCCACGTTATTTTACTTAGATGCTTATTTAACACAACAAACTCTCTCTCAATGAAAAAGGTGATGCATTTTTAAGTGTCGAGAAAACCCACCCACCTGGTAAAAAGCCTGAGACCCTAGGATGTATTCGGGGCTCCTTCTCAGCTTTGGAGAAATAACTAAAAATTTGAAAATAGAAATTCAAAACACCTGGATATAATTTCTAGCAATTTGTATTATTGTCAATGAAAAGGTAGAATCTCTATCTTCTAATAGATTAATAACTAATGTTTATATTAAAAATCATCTCATATAAAACTAATTTAAAAATAACAAATACTGTTCACTTTTCATGCTTGGTGAGAAGTTTTGCTTCTTTTATGAATGGCTTTTGACTGTGATTTTTTATGTATTTATTTCTTTTTCTTATGTTAATAAACTAGAATTAGTGCATATGGCTTACATTACCTACATTCATTTTTCTAAAGAAGAGTGTGAGCAGATTGTTTTCCTAATAACTTAGCAGTAATGAGGAGAGCCATTTAAACAGTTTGGGGGTCATATATATATGGTAACAACAATGTAATTCACCTGAGAAGTAAGGGCTCTTCCATGGAATAAAGCTAGTGATCATCTTATCTTTGATACAGTCCTAAGTCTCTGTTTTGCTGAGGATCAAACATTTGATGAATTAGCTTCTGAAAGGTTGAAAATAAAGCACCATTTACCATATATAAATGGACATTTTATTTGTAATTTAAGTTTTCTTTATCATAAAAGTAGATATTTGAAGGAAAAGATAATATTTTAGTACCTCACAAAAAACACCCTGTGAGTTTTTACTTTTAAAATAGTTATGGTCTTAGCAGGAAAACCAAAACTTTTGTTATTTGTGACATAAAATGAACCAGAACAGCATTTGCCTCCCTAGCCTGGGATTGTTTAACATGCTTATTCTTAGTCTTCGGTAGTGATGTCATGTGCTTCAGTTTACGAGAACAAAGCAGTGCATTCCCAACACCATCACCCTACACCGCCGGGGGATGACTGAAGGTACGCCATCTTTAATCTGTTTGTCTTTGTCTAGACGCTGGTTCTCCATACAGAACAATCAGTTGGTTTACCAGAAAAAGTTCAAGGTACGTATGTTCTTTATTAAGCAGTACAGTGAAAACTGATAAGTTCCGTTTCTAGTTCTTTGCCTGTTTGTCTTGGTGAACACTGAAGTCCATAAATATCCATATGCAAAATTCTGAAATTGCTGTTTATTGGCTTTGTTTGGGTATGCATAACAAGTGGAGTGGAAGCTGTCAACCCTTGATCCTTGAAAGCAGAGTGATTTGATTCTCAATTTTTTTTTTGAGAAATTTGTTTTTATTTGTGTGTACATGTGTGTCTGAGTGCAAGTTTGTGCACGTGACTGCAGTGCCCCCAGAGGCACTGGGTTTTGTCTTAAAGCAGCTCTGGCCAACTTGAAACTCACTGTGTAGGCCAGGCTGGCCCTCAACTCACAGAGATCTGGGGCCCTCTGGCTCCTGAGTGCTGGGATTAAAGTTGTGCGCCACGTGACCTGCATTATTTTTTATCATTTTTAATTGTGAGTATGTATGTATCTCTGTACGTGTGAATGTAGTTGCTCACTGAGACCAGTGGTGTTTGATCCCCCAGGAGAAGGAATTAGAGGTGGTTGTGGGCTGTCTTATGTGGGTGCTGAGAACCCAATTCTGGTCCCCTGTGAGCAGTAAGCAGCCTTAATGGCTGAGCCTTTTTTTTAGCCCTACGGTTATGAATTCTTCTTTTTTAATCAGCGTTTTCCTTTTTGCTTCTTTGCATGTGTATGGGTATTTTGCCTGTATGTATGGGCACTGTATGGTACATGTCTCTGTACCATGTATACAGTGCCCAAAAAGGCCAGATAAGGGCATCAAATCCCTGGAACTGGAGTTACAGATGCTGGGAGTCGAACTTGGGTCCTCTGGAAGAGCAGCCAGTGTTGTTAACTGCTGAATATCTTTCTATCCCTTTCTATACGGATTTTATTTTTATTCTTAGTTATGATGTGGATATGTATGTCTTGAATGTGGATTTGTACACTTGAGTGCAGTGCCTGTGGAGGTCAGAAGAGGGCGCCACACCTCCTGGAACTGGCATTACTCCCAGGTAGCTGTGAGCTGCCTGACCCTAACCCTGTCCTCCACCAGAGCAGTGTACACTCTCAACCACTGTGCTGTCTCTCCAGCTCCAGTTCAGATTTTTTTTTTTCGGTTTTTCAAGACAGGGTTTCTCTGTAGCTTTGGAGCCTGTCCCGGAACTCTCTGTAGACCAGGCTGGCCTCGAACTCACAGAGATCCGCCTGCCTCTGCCTCCCGAGTGCTGGGATTAAAGGTGTGCGCCACCACCGCCCGGCCGGAAATTTTAATTCCTAGTTTTAAGGTGTTTTGTGTACCAAGATTCTTACCTTCATCTTATAAGTCCTTCTGTTAGTTCCGTGGCAGGAGTAACCCTGACATCCCATGGTACCATTTTGAGGCTGCAGACGGTTTGTCTTTTAGAACACGTTAGCTTAGGACCAATGGTGACCACAAAGAGTGCTTTAAAATTACGGAAGTCAAAGTGTATGCTGTCAGTAATGTAGACAGGAACCCTGTCTTTGTTACCACTGTGTTTATGTGTTTTCTTGGCCTCATTTCAAGGCAAGGAATTTTATGTGTTGGAAAGGTGTACTGGGAAGGCTAGTGAGAATAATGCTAGACCCTGGAAAGAAAATCATTTGTTAATTGATAGTGTGCTTCTCACTTAGCCCTTGAATGGCAGTCTGTGAACCATAAACATCTGATATCCGCTTTGCTGTGAGATGGCCGCACTAGTCACAGGCTCTTGTGGACTTTGTAGTTAATCCATCGGTGCTTTCTCCTGATTTTTTGCACTGGTATTTTAATTAGGGAATGACAAAATCTTTTCTCTTTCTTGTAAGAATTTTAAAAAGAATTTACCAATTTCTCGTTGTTTCTCATCGGGCTATTTAAAACATGATTCGTTACCGGTTTCTCTTTGGGGAGAACGTAGCTCTTCTATATGTGAGTGGGAACCCAAAGAGTAATGGACATCAGTGGGATGGAAGAGGGCCAACAAGGAGATAATTTTTTGAGTATTCGTTAAGTGCCAATTGTGTGTCAATCCCTTCTCTAAATGATTGCACTTACTATACATAAAGTAGTTGGATGAGGCAGATTAAAGGAACAATATAGGATTGCCTCTGTTAGTTCTATATCTTCATAACAACACTGTGATAAAATACAGACCGTCTAAATGAGGCCGGATTTTGGAGTGTGTTTGGAGTTTATTGTTGCTGAGTGCTGGGAGCTAGGTTGATGAACTGAGCTTGCCTCCTTGCTGTAGGACAGCCCCACGGTGGTGGTGGAGGACCTCAGGCTGTGCACGGTGAAGCACTGCGAAGACATAGAGCGGCGGTTCTGCTTCGAGGTGGTCTCTCCAACAAAGTAAGACGTTCACCACAACTTGAGAATTGTTTTTATGTTTACGTAGTTTGTCTGAAAGACTTTACCAGATCTGAGAACTCTGATTTATGATTATCAGTGTAACAAAAGAATTAATGTTTTAAAAATGAATTCCATTAGCAATTGTAGATGTTCTGTCCAAGTACTTATGTAATTTCTCTCCATGTATCCCAGTCTTTCGAATCTGTAGAGATCGCTGTTTATTTACTTAGTGAGGCTGTGAGCATGTTAGGCAAGCACCCACTACTGAGCTCTGTCCTTCCTGTAAACACGTTTATGTGAAAACCTGGTAGACAGTTTTGTTTGTATCTTGGTGATAGTGAGAACTGAACTCAGAGCCTTGAAGTTGTCATTCTCCTGTCTCAAGCACCAAACCTAGTCCACGTGAAAACTTTTTAGATATTATGTTAAATTGAAAGTGTGTGACTTTGAATTTCATTTTGCACCACTATTAAAAAGAAGCAGTGTTCTGCTTACATGGTGGAGAGAAAGGGAGGTAAAGGATATGAGAGAATACACACACACAAACACCACACAGACACATTGGCACACATACACACACCACACATGCATACCATACACACACACACACACAACACATCATACACAGCACATCACACACACACTACATACACAATACATGCACCCACGACACACACATACTACACAGACACACACACAGATATATACCACAGACATACACACCCCTCACACACACATCACATATCACACAGACACACAAGGTACACATACACACCACTCAGGCATACACCACAGACATACATACACAGCATACCATACACACATACCACACAAATACCCACAGACACATACCACACACACACAATACATCACACAGACACACACAGCACATCATACACACAAACACACAGTATATTACATGCACAGACACACACATAGCACATAGAACACACAGATACACACACACACGGTACACAGACTTAAAGTCAGGCAAAACACCAATGCACATTTTAAAAATGTACTTAGTAGCATAGTGAGGAAAAATAAAGTGTATGGATTTTTTTCTCTCCTGACTTACTGTCTGACAAAATGATGCTCTTTCCTTGCAGAAGCTGTATGCTCCAGGCAGATTCTGAAAAGCTTCGCCAGGCCTGGATTAAGGCTGTTCAGACCAGCATTGCTACTGCCTACAGAGAGAAGGGCGATGAATCAGAGGTTAGTAGAGGTGTCGTCAGCATCGTGGGACCTACTGCTAAATGTTTTCAGTTTCACTTGTAGCATATGGTTATGGCATCCTTCTTATGAACATAATTTTTTTTTCTTTTTTTTTTTTTTGGTTTTTCGAGACAGGGTTTCTCTGTGGCTTTGGAGCCTGTCCTGGAACTAGCTCTGTAAACCAGGCTGGTCTCGAACTCACAGAGATCCGCCTGCCTCTGCCTCCCTATTGCTGGGATTAAAGGCGTGCACCACCATCGCCCGGCATTATGAACATAATTTTATGTAATTGAAATGTTGTAAAATCTTAGGCTCAAGTTCTTTTTGTTTATCTTTCTGCATGTTCTTTCTTCCCCTTTCTTCCTTATTCGTGTGTCTCAGATTGACTCACGTCTGTAATGTGCATGCATCCTTCTGATCCTGTGTAGGACCCGGAGCCTGCATAAGGCTGTGCTTTTTAGGTGGATATTGACCTTATTCTCTGAAGACAGTAGGAGTTTCACATCCCTGCGCTAGTCTTGTTTGCTCAGCTCTTCCTAATTCTGTATGTTTTCAGAAAGACAAACAATAATCAAATTCTATTTCCAGTGCTTCTGGGCTAACACACTGGCTCGTACGGGGCAGAAAGTTTTTCAGCATGAAGACTTTATATCTTTAATTGCTTATAATCAAGAGCCACATCTTTGGATTTGGTTGATTTTTGCTGCCTCTTAGCTAAGGCTTATTAAATACTCTATTATTGGTGTGACCTTGCGCTTAACCAATTATCTTTTTGTATATTGTATTTTGGTTTTGGCTCATTCTGAAGGTGATATATTTTCTAGCATGTCACTGTGTCATAGCATAGTTTTTCTAGTGATTAACTGTAGTAGTTGAAATACCTTATTTATAGTTAACACCTTTGGGATGTGGCTTGAAATACTTTATCTTTTTGCTTGCTCTCTTCTTTCAGAAGAGCCTTCCCGTGTAGCTCAGGCTCTCTGAGCTTGTGCCCCTCCTGCTTCAGTCTCCCACTATGGCTTTCCTTTCTGTCCTTGTCTCTTGTTCATATGTTCAGTGACAGTCGTCACGTAGTTGTTAATGTGTATTTTTCCTCTTCATTGATGGAGCCTAGTCATAAGACCCTCAGGTTTTCCGTTCTTTAATCTCCATTGCAGAGAATAATGCCTATCCAAATAGATGTTTAATTTATGGCCTCGAAACTTTTGCTTGTAGTATATAACATGTAGCGTGTTCCTACAGTCCTTTACAAAAAGTATTAAAACTACCAAATAATTCTTAATTCTTTTAGAAGCTGGATAAGAAATCATCTCCATCAACGGGAAGCCTAGATTCTGGAAATGAGTCAAAAGAGAAATTATTGAAAGGAGAGAGCGCCCTGCAGCGTGTGCAGTGCATCCCTGGTAACACCAGCTGTTGTGACTGTGGGCTGGCAGACCCACGGTGGGCCAGCATCAACTTGGGCATTACCTTGTGCATCGAGTGCTCTGGGATTCATCGGTGGGTGTGCTCACTCAGAGTGGGAGCGTTCCTTTGGGTTAGATGCGAGTTGTAAATTACTGTGTGTTCTTGTTAGTGGGTCTTTCCAGATTAACAGTGTATATTTATGCATTTTATAAAGTGGATAATTTTGGTTTTGTAAAGTGTTTAGAAAACTTTGATTCATCATTTTGTTATTAACCAGAGGGTCCATCCATATTTATATGTGACTTGATAACTTTTATTAAAAGTAATGCAATCTTTTTTTCTCCATGTAGGAGTCTTGGGGTTCATTTTTCGAAAGTACGGTCTTTAACTTTAGACACTTGGGAGCCTGAGCTTTTAAAGGTGAGATATATATATTTGCATGGAAATGTTTCACAGGCAATTGCAAATCTCCTCTAGCTGAGATGAACTAGCACATTGGGGAAGTTAAGACTGAAGCAGAGAAGTAGATTGACCAGGAGAAAGCAAGTGTAAGAAGTTAGAGCATTCAACAAGGAGTTAGGAGGTGTCTGGTGATAGAACTCAGGTACAGGGTGAATCCGTCAATTATTTCAGCAAGCTCTGTGCTTGATGGGTTTTTAGTACTTCTATAAAGTGGGAGTGAGGGCATTGTTTAAGAAGATTTATTTATTTTATGTATGAGTACTCTGTCTTCATGTATGCTTTTGTGCCATAAGAGGGCCTCAGACCCCACCATAGATGGTTGTGAGCCACCATTTGGTTGTTGGGAATTGAACTTGAGACCTCTGGAAGAGCAGCCAGTGCTCTTAACCTCTGAGCCATCTCTCTAGCTCCATAAGGGACATTTTAAAAAAGATGTCTAATTTTAATTTTCTGTTTTTGAATTGGCCGTACTTGCTGTCCTAACTGCATTGATATTTAATTGTTAAACTTCTTGCCCAACCATGAGCCTAGGCACAGTCAGGAGTTTGATATATAGATAGACTTGATAGATATGACTTTTGTTTAGAGGTTTATTGTTACTGTTATGTGTATGTGTCTGAGCCTGAATATGGATATATGCACTAAGTACAGGTGCCTGCAGGGGGTGAAGGGTCAGGTCCCTTACAGTTGATGTGAGTGCTGAGACCTGAGCTTGGGTCCTCTGCAAGAGCAGTGCAAGCCCTTTAATTACTGAGCTATCTGTCCAGTCCTGATTTTAAATACTGCTATATATGTAATACATCTGGATGGATGGATGGATGGATGGATGGATGGATGGATGGGTGGATGGATGGATGGTTTCTGTTGGGTACCTGTTATAGGAGTAATAATGTTCTGATAAAGAATAGCAAATGGGTAATTATATCATTCTTTGGCCCATTTTAACTTTAAATTTTCTTTGTGGAATGAACAATTATAATATATAAAGAGGAATTAGTTAGTTGTACCCACCTTAAGGACTTTTGAAGTTTAGCTTAATTTTAGGACTTTTAATTTATTGCTTGCTTGTTTGTTTTCCTGCCAAACAGCTTATGTGTGAATTGGGGAATGATGTTATAAATCGTGTTTATGAAGCCAAGCTGGAAAAGATGGGAGTAAAGAAGCCACAGCCGGGACAGAGGTACGGTCGTCTCAGTGTGCTCTCCTCCCTAGCCACAAATACGCTGTCACTTTATTCCAGCACGGCTGACACAGGACGTGGGTGCGGGGTTTAGAAGCCATCCTCTCTTGTGTTTAAATGTGACCTGTCTGTCTTCAGTGTGTCCGTCAGACCCGTGCTTCTTGTAGGTGTGCTCACTAGACCGCTACACCTTCCTGGGCTGTCAATCATTTATAGTCAAGTGTAATCATCTTTAGATGACATGGAATTGTTAAGAAAAATTTAAAAAAATCTCTACTTAGAAATGTAAAAGCTTTTTGCAGTTAAAGACGTCCCAAGTTCTGTTAGTGGTGGGCATTGGTGGGCATTTGGAGGAGGCGTGGCTCAATCTCAAGTATGTCTGGTTCCTTAGCACCTGTGTTACAAGCAAGGCGTGGTAGTATTTGCTCGTAATCCCAATGCTGGGAAGTCAGAGACAGGGGATCCCTTGGGCTTGCTGGCTAGCCCATCTCAATGGTCTAGTAAATTCCAGGTTAGGCAGAAGACTGTGTCTCAAAGAATAAGGTAGAGAGTGATTGAAGGAGACACCTGACGTTGACCTCTGGGCTCACGTGTCTGTGTGTGCACACGAGCGCACACACATGTGCATACACAAACATGTACACATACCACACATACACAATAGCCTCTTCGTTAATGTCTCAAAGCTCGAGTTTCTACTCTCTACTCTGAAGCATTTGGCACGATCCGACTTAGTTCAGCAAGTGTTCATCTCACAGCCGAGTGGCACTGTGAGGCTTTGGAATCAAAGGTGAAAGGCAGTTTGGTTGTACAATTGGACTTCCAGTTCTGTAGGCGGAAATCTCCTGAAGGAAGCTGCTAGAATCAGGGCCTTTGGAACACGTAGTCTTTGTGGTTGACACTAGGCTTTGTCAGTAAGATCTTTATTTTTTTGGATTAAAATTGCATTTTTCCACAATCCTATGTTGAGATTGGAACTAAGCCAACGTGATTTAAATCACTTTTAATATTTGCCATATGACAGAGTGACCTTGGGTTCTACTATTTTAACCAAAGACCTAAGCATTTTTAAATTAAAGAAGAAAAATTATAAAAAGGCATATGTCATAGTTATATCACAAGCTAAGAGAAATGACATTTTCCCACTATAAATCTGGAGTGCTGTATTGTTTTCTTACAGTTATTATATGAAAAAATTATGACCATCAGTAGTGATTATTCAGGATATGACAGTATCTCTAGTAAAAATGGAATTAATGTTAATTTCTAGATTTTTTTAGTTTTCCTGGCAGTGTTTCTAATGTAAAACACAAGGGAGTGTGTATACAAATACATCACACAGAAATTAGGAGACTCATGGCGTACTGTGGATCTATGAGTTTTCAGTGGGTCATTTGTATTTCATCTGTCTGTGAAACTTGCTTCTTATTTAGAAGAAAATCACGTTACATGTTAACTGTTACAGATTCACTTAAAAACATCTTAGAAGAGGGTGTCAGGTTCCCGGGAGTAGTTACAGGTGGTTGTGAGTGCGTGGGAAGCAACTCAGGTCCTCTGGAGCAGCAAATGCCCGTCACTGCTGAGCCCCCACTGACTTCACTTACGATCAGATTCAGTATCTAGTGGCATTCGTTCAGTGTTAGCCATGCTAAGGGGCTGAACAGAACATCATGGCGTTTTTCTGTTTACCAGACAGGAGAAAGAGGCATATATCAGAGCAAAATATGTGGAGAGGAAATTTGTGGATAAATACTCCATGATATCATCGCCTTCTGAGCAGGAGAAAAGGGTTATTTCCAAAAGCTGCGAGGAACAGAGGCTGAGCCAAGTCAGGGCGTCTGTCCACACCGCAGGTATTTACCTTGGATATTTTCTTGAGCTGAAGCCACTTTTTAAATCTCACAATTATGGCATTGTAGGGTTTGTTTTTGTTTCCTAAATACTAGAAGCCTGTTTCCTTGTATACATTCTAAGGGAAAACAGGACTTCTGTGTCTTGAAAACAGCAAAACTGAGATGGCCCCATGGTTCACGTTCCCAGGTTCAGCCTGTGCTCTATGAAGTCCAACAGCTTAATCGCAAGGGGGAGATGGGATTGTCGGTCGATTATGCCGGAAGCCCCGAGTATCTGATTAAACACCTGATTTCCTGCTATGTTCCCCTACACTTGCCCAGTAACGGTTTTTCCTGCCCCCCCTTCTTACGGCCTGCTTTGTGCTTTGCTAACTTGCATGTCCCCAGTGGCTGCTGTAAATAGCGACGAGGCCAGGCGGGAGTCTCTGTTCTGTCCTGATGAGCTAGACTCACTCTTCTCCTACTTTGATACTTCTTCAAAACTGCGTAGTAGTAAGTACTGTCGTGGAGCATTCCGAGTCTGTGCCGGTGGTCATTGTGCGGTGTGGCCATTTCTCTAGATGTCGCCCATTGTCTCAGGATTACACGTTACCACAGTCATGCCGTAAACTAAGCTCTTAGCTGCTCCCAGCATTTGTGGGGTAATGAGATATGCTAGAACTCGAAAACAAGTTGATTTTCAAGCGTTGTGATTGATTTACTATCCAATAAGCTAAGTTACGAAAGGATCAGAGTTGCAGTTAGTTTATTATGCTGGTGGTGGCCAAGTTCATGTTTCCATGTGCCAGCTCATTTTACGGTCTTGTTGGCTGTGGGAGTCTGCTTTCCAAGGGGTGTGAGCTTTCATCACTAGCCTTTTTTCCCCCCTGACACAGTCAAAAGTAACGACAGTGGGATCCAGCAAGGCTCCGATGATGGACGAGAATCTTTACCTTCCACCGTGTCAGCCAATAGCCTATATGAGCCTGGTGAGTTTTTATGAGCCAGTGTTGATTGGGGTAGTCGGTTGGTCAATGCATGTGGCAAACGCCCGTCCTCGTGTGGGTGTGTTTGCATGTGTCTCTTCACGTGAGGGCCACAGGTTGGTGTCTGGTGTTTGCTCAGTGGCTTCCCGCCTTGCTGTTGGGCACGGGAGGACGTATAATTGATGTGTTAGAAGGTGACGCATGTGCACGTGTTGTGTGCCCACAGGAACGCTGATGTTTTCATGTTCTCCGTCTCTAAAACTGGCCGCTCCTGTCCTGTTACAGTCTCAGTCCCCAGACACCATTTTGGTTCCTGTCATGATTGCAGAAGGTGGCATTTTTCTAGTTTAGGGAAATGGGATCTTACAGTATGTAATCTTTTTGTTTTGTTTTTTTAAATTTTTGTTCAGCATATTTATTTCAAAAATAACTATGCCATTATTCTTATCTATTGCTCATTTCTTTTATATTTTTATTGTGTTTTCACAAACTTTTACTAGATGATTTAAATTAGTGAAAAATTTGAAATATTAATGGCATTAGGCTCAACATAAGAATGAAACTCCCTAGAAATAGTTAAATGTGTCGAAATGTCAAAGCCAGACTTCCACATTTTCTGCAGCACTACTAATTAAGACAGTTAATAAGAGACAGTGTATCAGGAACTAAACTTCACAGCAAGAATTACAGATTTCTTAAATACATAAAAATGGAGGGTTGTGCTGGTGCCACGGGCAAAGGTACCTGCTGCTGTCCTCTCGACCTGAGGTCAAGCCAGAGATCCACTTGGTGGAAGGGGAGAACCGACCCCCAGAAGTTACATGATGACCTCCTCCACACGCACACCTACCTACCCCCAAAATAAAAAAATTTAATATAATAACTATCAACCATGACTTTAGATTTTAAATAGAATATAGATAGCATTTACTTTGACTTAACTATAGAGCAACTTTCTGCTGAGAATTTTATCCCTTGTCCCAGACCACTCTCGGATTTCACGGCATCTGCCTTTTCTTGCTAATGAAAATATTTCCATATGGACTATTAGGAACTAAGATTTTTTTTCCATATAGCAGAGAACATGGGTATTTGCCTTTCCCAGTCTGGGTTATCTTAATATGTTTTCTAATTCCATCTGTTGGTTTTTTTTTTTTTTCGAGACAGGGTTTCTCTGTAGTTTTTGGTGCCTGTCCTGGAACTAGCTCTTGTAGACCAGGCTGGCCTCGAACTCACAAAGATCCTCCTGCCTCTGCATCCCAAGTGCTGGGATTAAAGGCGTGCGCCACCACCGTCCGGCTTCCATCTGTTTTTCTACTTTTGTTTTTGGGACAGGGTCTCTCGCTAAACCTGGAGCTCAGTGATTTGGCAGCGAGCTCAAGGGGTCTGTCTGTCTTTGGCCCCAGCGTCGGTATTGCATGTGCCAGCCTCTACTGGCTTTTTACCTGGGTTCTGGGGACCTGGACTCAGGTCTTTTCTTATCTGGCAAACATTTCACCCAGTGGCCATCCTCTCTGCTGCTCTGAATGTTAATTCCTGATTAGATCATTTCTCAAGGGGGTGGTTAATCTTTTTAGAAGGAACTAAGGGTAAAGCAGTATTGTTTAAGGAAAAAGCTATCTTTTCTCTTCATTTTTGGAACCTTTCCCCTAGGTAGACAATCATCCAAACGTCATGGTGTATGCTGTATGCTAGAACTTTTAGTCTGCACTAATCCTTTCTGCTTCGTCACTGTCTTCTCCTGTGGCTGCTTTTATACCAGCTTCTCCCTCCCCTTCGGGTTTTCTTCTCATCACTCATTCCCTGATGCTTCCTTCTGTGATGTCAGTGTGTTTAGTCTTACAGGATTCTCTAGGGGAATAAGCATTCTTCGACGCATTTGAGTCAGTTGTAGTGTAAATTGTAATGATATTACATCACCCTAGGAACTAAGTGAGTTTGAACTACTAGTAAATTCTTTAGGAGTTCCTGCTTTTTGGAAGATAGCAAATTTTAACGGTGACTAACTAATTCTCCGGATACTGGCAATGCCACCAAAGCCTAGAATACCAGCTGATGTCATTCCACGAGAAGGTGGAATGTTTAGGGAATGAGTAGTCGGTAAGAAATAATATCTGTGTGAAAATCGCTCATATGCTCATTGGGATAGATGAGTAATCTTCTGTCACAATGCTTACATTGTGAGTTGAAGAGTTCACTTTCAAAACTGGAGTAAAATATACATACTGTAAAGATACCCTATCCACTTATCTGTCCTGAAGTTATCTATCCTAACCATTTTTAAATATACAGCTTACTAGCCTTAAATTCATCTTCACTTTGCTGTTACTGTTATTTGCCCAATAGAACTCTTTTCTTCTCGCAGATTTTTTTCTGTTCTTGCTAAACAATTTGTCTCCTGTGCTAAGAGCACATTCTTATTAATGTATTTGTGCTTTGCTTTCCAGAAGGAGAAAGACAAGAGTCTTCTGTGTTTCTTGACTCTAAACATCTTAATCCAGGACTTCAGCTTTATAGGGCTTCATACGAGAAAAACCTTCCTAAAATGGCTGAGGCTTTGGCTCATGGTGCAGATGTGAACTGGGCTAATTCAGATGAGAACCAAGCAACGGCACTCATCCAGGCTGTACTAGGGGTATGAACTGATACATTCAAGCTGTACTAGGGATACAAATCAATGCATCCAGGCTGTACTAGGGGTATGAACTGATGCATTCAAGCTGTACTAGGGATACGAATCAATGCATCCAGGCTGTATTAGGGCTATGAATTAATGCATTCAGGCTATATTAGGGATGTGACTTAATGCATTCAGGCTGTACTAAGGGTATGAATTAATGCATTCAGGCTATATTGGGGATGTGAATTAATGCATTCAGGCTGTATTAGGGCCATGAATTAATATATTCAGGCTGTATTAGGGCTATGAATTAATGCATTCAGGCTGTACTAGGGATGTGAATTAATGCATCCAAGCTGTATCATGTGTGAATGAATGCATTGAGGTTTTCATTGATCTGGTAAAATATCATAAATTCTAAACAAAGCAGTGTTATTGTTACTATTCTAAGAAGGTTAGGAAGTAAAGAATTGTCTCACTAGTCATTTCTGAGTGTCACCTGGTGGTTTCTGATTTTGGGGAGGGGCATCTGGAAGAGAATTCTGATCATGAAAAGGGAGTGTGTTTTGATGGACTTCAGTCTGTGAACAATTCTGTTATTGGAAAAAGAAAATATAATGTTTCTCTGCTACTTGCGTATAGGTGTGCCCTGTCTCATTTGCATTTCTACATTGTCATCTTCCTCTCTTTAAGGGCTCTTTGGTGACATGTGAGTTCCTCTTACAGAATGGTGCTAATGTAAACCAAAGAGACGTCCAGGGGCGGGGACCATTGCACCACGCCACTGTCTTAGGACACACAGGGTAAGTGACTGTGCCGAAATATGTAGGTAGTTTTTATCTGAAAGATACTTTGAGATAATGTTATTTTTTTTCGGGTTAAGGATATTATGTAGAATTTGTAAAAGAGGGCAAAAATGAAAGATTCTCATTCATAAGAAAAGCCACGATCAGTGTTCTACCTTGCTTTCTGTCATTGGGATAAACAGCCTGACCAACAGGAACTTGTGCAAGGAAAGGGTTTATTTGGCTTACACTTCATGTCACAGCTCATGGGTGAGGGAAACCAGGGAAGGAACTTGAATGTGGAGGTAGGAACTGAAGCAGAGACCACAGAGGAACACTGCTTACTCCTTGCTCAGCTTGCTTTTTTTAAAAAAAATTATTTAAAAATTTTTTATTTCTTATATTATGTGTGTACATCTGTGTGTGGGTATATGCATGAGCGCAGTGCCCGAGGAGGCCAAAAGTATCACCTCCCCTTGGCTCTGGAGTATAAACGGTCTGATGTGGGTGCTTGGAATTGAACTCAAGTGTTCTATGCAAGAACAATGTGTGTTCTTAATTGACAAGCTGCATCTTCAGCCCTCAGCTTGCTTTCTTATGCAGTCCAGGCCTAACTGTCTACGGATAGCGTCATCCACTGTGGGCTGGGCCTTCTGCATCAATAAGCAATCAAGGCTGGTCCCCACAGACTTGTCCACAGGGGAGTCTGACAGGGGCAACTTTTCAACCAAAGTTCCCTCTTTTCAGAAGACTCTAGCTTGTGTCAACTTGACACTAAAAAACTAACCAATATAACTAGTGTACAGATATAAACTCACCAGTATAACTAGTGTACAGATATAAACTAACCAGTATAACTAGTGTACAGATATAAACTCACCAGTATAACTAGTGTACAGATATAAACTAACCAGTATAACTAGTGTACAGATATAAACTCACCAGTATAACTAGTATGCAGATATAAACTAACCAGTATAACTAGTGTACAGATATAAACTAACCAATATAACTAGTATGCAGATATAAACTAACCAGTATAATTAGTATGCGGATATAAACTCACCAGCATAACTAGTATGCAGATATAAACTAACCAGTATAGCTAGTGTGGAGATATAAACTAGCCAGTATAACTAGTGTAAAGACATAAACTAACCAGAATAGCTAGTGTACATATAGTGTAGCTTGTGTTAGATATAAACTAACCAGTATAAGTAGTGTACAGATATAAGCTAACTAGTATAGCTAGTGCACAGATATAAAATATATTGCTCACTTTAATCTTGGCATGTCCATAAATTGATCAGTTTTCTCCCTGGCTTCCTCTGTTCCTGAAGTTTTGGTATTTTGTTTGTTTCCCAGCTGAAGTTTATGCTATTTATATGCATGTATACATACATTCTCTACACATCCTAGTTTTGGGAGAACTTATAACTTTGGAAATTTCTAGGTTTTCCTTAAGGTGCTTAGTCCCAGCATTGACTGAGTTCTTTATTTAAGGTTATTGCCATTGAGGCCATAAATGATATATTTGGAACAGTAATGCCATGACAGTGAATTTCCTATTAGAAGGTGCTAATGAAGCGAGATGTTGACTTTATTCAAATAGTTCGAGTCATTTTAAATAAGATTTCTCAGAGTTTCCAGTTATTCCTGGATAAGCATGAAGCTGATTTTAAACATAGTTAATGGCATCTTTTAGTTCATTATCACTTGCTTTCTTTATCAGCAGATAACCAGTTTAGTAACTTAATCAAGAAAGTTTCTCTATGGTAAAATAGAGTAGTATTTGCTTCATCTTTTATAGTTGCCTAAATTGTGTTAGTTTTTCTCATTTATTTCACAGACCCCATTTACTCATTCTTTCATATATTTTTTAAAAATGTGAATATCTTCAAGTTAAGAATATTTATATAGCATAATGGGAGGATTGCTACCTACTTTCTTCTGTTGTAGCGTGATTATTACAGTGTTTACATTGTCTTAGTTTCCTCCGTTTGTAGCCTTGTATGATAGTTTTTTCTGTTGTCAGTATCTCTGTGTAGCTTTTAAAGGTACTTGTTGAGGATAGAGTTGTGATTATATGTCCCACTTTGTTATAGAGCACCAGATTATCTAAGATAATGAAAATTATTTGGGACTTGTAAAGATCTCAGTTGGCTTCTATTATTGAAGTCTATTCATTGACGATGGTAGAATGCATTAAGAATTTTCTAATAAAATGTTATTTAAGTTAGATAGAACTTTTTATTTTGAAGGTGAATATGGATATTTTTCATCTTGGCACTGTCTGAAAAATGTTATTCCCTTAAACAGGCAGGTGTGTTTATTCCTAAAGCGAGGTGCCAATCAACACGCCACTGATGAAGATGGAAAGGACCCTTTGAGCATAGCTGTGGAAGCAGCCAATGCTGACATAGTAACCTTGTAAGTGTCTCCTGTGTACTTATTTCCTGCGCTATATGTTGTTTGTACAAATAGTCCTGGCTGTCCTGGAACTTGCTATGTAGACCAGGCTGGCCTTGAACTCACAGAGATCTTATTCCCTCTGCCTCCCAAGTGCTGGGATTAAAGGCATATACCATCATGCCCAGTCTGTGGGAGATTTAAACTCAGTGTTTTGTCTATGACATTCCTTTATGGATACTGGATGTGGCAAGTGCTTTAAAACTCACAGGTTCATTTGTCCTTCACAGCAACTCTGTGAGGAAATGTTAGATCTAGGTCTTCACTCCTGAATTTCTACTCTACTGCCTGGACTCGTGGCCACTTTTGCTGTACCACCACAGCAGTAGAAACATAAGCCATGGCTACCCCTAAATGCTCTTCCCTGTTAGTACAGCAGGAGGCCTGGCTGGGGTGGGGTGGGTGGAGCTATGGATAGTCTTAGTCTACTCGCTTGAGGGGGAAAGGCTTATCATGGAGCTGGAGGGGAGCAGCTGTTTAAACGCATGTTCATATGGACAAACACGAATAGATGGTTTTGAATGTTGTGTTTCCTGTGGTGTTCAGTAGGCTTGCATGTTAGGTCAAAGCAGTGTGCTACGCTTAGAACCTAGAAGTGTGACATCGTCAGCCATGCTTCATTTCCTGAAACTAACGGAAACAGTCATGTGATTATTCCAGTCTGGGCTAATGGAAGCTGAGACTTGGTGATCCCTCTCCTCTTGAGTAGAAACATGCCTAGTTATGACGCCCTCAGTTCAGAGATGCCTCGTGGCTGCCTTGAGCCCATGCTCCCAGCCTCCCATGGCACAGGCCACGGAGGAGTTGCTATTTCTGTGAAGGCCGCCATCAGTCAGCAGTCAAGAAAATAACCCTACAAACATGATGCCCCTGACCAGTCTGATCCAGACAGTGCCAAGTTCAGGACTCCCCCAGATGAGTCAGTGTCAAGTTGACAACTGAAGCCAGCTAGGAAGGCTCCCCTTTCAGAGAATCCACATAGCGAGGGGATGCTTAGGAGCCTGTCTTAATCCCCAGAGTGAGAACGGAAGGGCAGTGTCAGTGTCCACTGCTGCTGCTGCTCCTGACAGAGCACTCAGAAGAGAGTGGGAGCTCCGGGAAGGCCGCAGGTGGTGTGGCCAGAAGGACAAGCAGGCACCACAAAGAGTACTTTCAATACTTGCTTTCTTAATCCGATGTTACTTGCCATTGCCAGGATTCCTAACCTTTACAGAGTGTATGACCAGTATGGTAACCTTGGGAAAATGTTGGTAACCCTCAGTCATTTCCTGCAGTGCTCATATATCAAAATACATTTCCATTATTTGGAAGGAGCATGTTGCTCATGTGTTGGGCACGCTCACACTCAGGGTAAGCTAGTGAACTAGGACAGGTGGCGCTCCCATGCTGCAGAGGCAGCCATTCCATCCAGCTGCTGTGGGAGTTAGGCATCCTCCGAGGCCTGGAGGACACGGGCTGTTGGAGGAGCTTTCCTAAGAAACACTTTACTGTCTGCTCGTGAGAATGACATGGGTGAAGGTGCGGTGAATTCTCCACTGCAGAGTGTCTGAGAAATGGAGTTTGTGTTACTGACAGATGCTGGGAAGGGACTAATTCTGCCGGCATTCATACTGCCTGCCTATGTAACCCGTTTGTTTATGAGTCCTTGTGTTACTTCCTCTAAGAGCTCTTCTTCTTGAATTTTAGGTTACGTTTAGCAAGAATGAACGAAGAAATGCGGGAATCGGAAGGACTTTATGGACAGCCAGGTCAATATTCTACCAATAATCATACAGAAATGCAGTATAAAAATTGCATTCAGGAATTTATCAGTTTACAATTGGAAGATTCATAGCTCCTTAGCTAACTAATGTGTTGTTATGGAGATTTTATAATGTACCTGTAAATTGTGAGTTGTTAGCGGCTGGACCTACCGAATTCTCGGGTGGCTGATCGCGGACCTTTACACACTCGGACGTGTTTCTGTTTCAGTACACTTCACTTACTGTATTCAGTCAGCTCTGGCCGCTGGCATCCTTATCTGCTGTACAGATGTCTTCCACATGCGCTCCAGCAACACGCGTGACAACGGACTGTGTGCTGCAGAGGCGGCAGGAGAGCAGTTTCAGAAGGAATTCTTCCTCCATTCCCTTTTCTCTTCCTTTCTTCCCCTCCTTCTCCCTCCCTCTACCCCTCTTTCTTTCTTCCTTCCTTCCTTNCTGTCTCTAGGTTTTCTTTTCCTTCCTTCCTTCCTTCCTTCCTTCCTTCCTTCCTTCTTTTTTTTTTTTTTTTGTAACAGGATTTCTCTGTATAGCCCTGGCTGTTCTGGAACTCGCTTTGTAGACCAGGCTGGCCTCAAACTCAGAGATCGATCCACCTGTCTCTGCCTCCCGAGTGCTAGGATTAAAGGCGTGTGCCACCACTGCCCAGCTTCAGAAAGAGTTCTTGTTAGCTGTCCAGTGAATATAGCAAAATGGGGTTCTTTTTGTTATTCAGGGAATTTCTATACATTGTGTTCAGGGAAAATAAAACAAATTTATGTGTTTTGTATATAAAAAAGTTAGTGTGGAAAATACCAAGGAGAAGTTTATTGATGAGTTTTATATTTAATCTAAGAATGAGTTGAAGATTTAAAGTAAACCTTTACCAGTAAGTTAAAGTCCACAGTGGGTAGAGAATTAGTTTCGAGGCTGAAAAAGTTTATCTGTAGCTTTGCCCCAGGCAGTTGTACACTGCTTGCTGCGGTGAGTAGATGTATTTAGAGCAATGTTTTGTGAACCTGATGGCTAGGTAGACTTTCTAGAAAAATCTCAGTTCATGACCACTGCAGTCATCATCTCGAGTGGTTTCCACTTGAGTCATGGTGTGAAGGAAGGAAAGAAAGGCTGATCAGATTCCCCTGTTTGGCGGAAACGTGCTAGTTAGACAGCGTCACAAGATGGACATTGCGTTCCTCTTGATGAATTTGAGTACATGAATTCTTATCTGTTTGAAATGCATACACATATTCCTAAACATTTCAGGAATTCATGACCAAAGTACTTACAGACATTCACTTTTCAGTGAGAATATTTCATTTTATAAAAATGAATATATTATCTTTAAAGTGGCCTGGTAAAATCCTCTCCTTCCTGTTGAACTGTGTTTTGAATTTATGTTAACGTCAGCCACATACTTCATTTTGTCTGCAGTCATCTCTATCAGTGTGAGGCCATTTTTTTCTCAGAGGACTGTATTTACCACTTATGTTTGGCCTGACGTAATAGGGAAGGAAAAGGCCCCGGGTCCAATGCAGACTTCTAGTCTAGGGCGGTTCGCTCTAATCCTGTGGATCACTGCTGAGTCCTGATGTTCTGATGTCAGTGTACTTATTATGGGGGAGACTCAGCGCTGACTCTGGGTCTTGCCCATGTTTCAAAGTTGAATGTTAGATCTTAAATAAGTTCTAATTTTGTAACAGATATCTTTAAACGATAGTATTACTAGGCCTTTTCTGAGGCCTATGTGGTTAAGCACTTTAAATAAAAATCGATCAAAGAAAATGAGCTGGCATCTGTGAGGTAGCAGGGAACTACAAGATTGTAAGCGAGGGGACATTTGTAGCTGTCGAGCCAGCTGCACCTTTCGTAAGGTGCTTGCGACAATGGCCGCAAGCCATTGGTGAGCCACAGGTCAGAGGTCAGCGATCCATTTGCTCTGCAGTTGGGAGTTTGCAGAGGCAGGACCTTTCCTTTTTGCTCCTCATCTCGTTCTTCCCAAGTTGCCTGAATTTCTTCTGTGTCATCCAGGAGTGCTCAGACGCCTCTTTCACTGTTGTCTGTGTGCAGGTTTATATGTAAATATAGGGACTTCCAGGTATCAATAGGAAAATCATTTTTTTTCTTAGTTTTAATAAAAATCCAAAAACAGGTCTCACTTTAAGACTTAAAAAAATTGGCAAATTTTAATTTAGAAGTTAAAAATTAGAATTCTGCCAAGCATGCCAGGTTAAAAAATAAGTTGTAAAAACCTATTTGAGAAACATCTTGGAAATAATTTGATTTTGAACTCAGTATAAGGGTCCAGAGTTTGAAGGTGAATGCTTCTTCATTCGTGAGGTGTGGTGAGGTGGCACAACAGCTGCTCTCTGCCGTTCCTTTTTTCCCCTCTGAGTCCTGGCAGAGCAGAACGTGCTGGCCTGGACAGCCACAGAGCAGACATGCACCCCCCACCCCACCCCACCCCCACCCCACCCCCGCAGGCTGGCCCAACAGCCACTCCTCATTTTCTCTCTGCATCTTACTGTATTTCTTTTGCCTGACTCCTTTATCACTAGCAATAGGAGGGAAGCGGCAGAGCTCTGAGAAGTTCGGAGGTAGAGAAATGACAGGTCCACTATTTAGAGGACTTGGTTAAAATGCTTGGCAGTCAGGGGCTTCTAGGAAACCCCATTTCTAAAACGTGGGTCTACAGTCCCACGGACACACGTTTTTTTTGCAGGCAGTATTAAGAGCACACAGCTTCCGAAGGAAGGGGGTTCTTTTCGCAGCTTTTGAGAACTCTCAGGAGGCCTGGCAGGGCGCGGTAATGTGGTGGGAATTCATTTCTGTGCTTCCTGCCTCTGCTCTGGGTCTCTTGAGCGCTGGCAGATTCTCAGCCAGCAGAGAATCGCTGCCTTAGGGAGCCACTCTGGTCATGTGTGCTGTGGCTTCTGGGACCTAGCCAGTCATTTGTAGAAGGAAAGTGTTCCCAGCCAAAAGGGGCGGGTTGATGCCTGTGCTCCCAGAGAGTGGGTGTCACATCCTCTGAGAGCGTTCATTTCAGTAGTGAGGCCACCGAACCTTGCCTGTCACGCTGATGGCTGTAGTGATGAGCGTTCTGAATGCCAAAAACCAAAGGGGTTTTAAACCGGCAGCGCAAACACAGCAGCCTGTATTTTAAAAATTCAGAATTGTTCAGGCACACAAAAAACTCGAACTTTCTGAATGGGGAAAAATATGATTAAGTAATTTAAAGAATATGCTTAGCTGTTTTGTAGTAAGTTGTTCCGTGTATTAATAGGAAGATTCCAGGGCAATGTATTCTGGAATCTTGTTTATGTGTTCTAGTTCAAACAAATTAGATTTGCCTCGGGGAAATATTCAAGTGATTAAAATTCTCCTTAAAGTTTAGATAATGAAGCTCACTTTGTGTCGACTGTTTTAAGTAAATCACTGTTGTTGTTTTGGACAGCACATTTTGAGGTCTAAGGAAGGTAGCGTATTAATAGTGCATTATTCATTTAAAAAACTGAACTTAACGAGTTTTGTGTATGAAGCTAGAAACTTCCTTTTGTATTGTGTGGACTCTCAGCCGTTTGCAGTCAGTGAGACCAATGATTACTACAGCACCACACTCTCCTTCCAGGACACGTTGAATTCCATGAATGGAAGGTCTTATAATTAGTTTTGCATGGTACAATGGTTTTACTAAAACTGTACTTGTGTAATATGTGCTAGGTGACTTAAAAAATCAAACACTAGAAAACCGTAAAGAAAAGCAGCTCGCTATACACAGAATATGCATCGCTGAATGTAGAAGCCATACATCGCCATTGTACCGCTGTAACACTTGAGAGCACTCACCTGGTGCTATCTGTGAACGACTTGGCGTCAGCGTCTGCTGGACGTCAGCGTCTGCTATACCCGCCTCCCGTTTCTTCCTGGATATATAATGTGTGCCTTTTACGTTCCTTCTGGTGTCGAATGGTAAAATCAATGTGGTATTTTTGTATTATAATCTGCACTTTACACTTTCTTGGAAAGTAAAATCCTAGACTATCTGAATAGTATTTTAAAAATATTTATAATGTTTACAATAAATATTTTACATATTTTACTTCAACATCTAAAAAGAGAAAAAAAATTAAAGTATTTTGTATGGTTTGTTAATTGTTATTTAATGTTGCGCTCCTGAGTTTATTTCATGTCCTGTAGGATGGCCAAGCACAAGAGTAGGTCGTAGTTTGTCGTGCTCTAATTGGACGGTCTGGCCAGTTCCAGTGGACTGGCCTTTAGTGTGCTCCGGTCGAGTGTCGGGAGTCAGCTCTCACCTCCAGCCAGCCCGTTAACATTCTCTTTTCACTGTATTTTCCCGTTTTAAAGTAGATTGGTTAGGGTTAACTGATTTCTGTCATGGTTCAATTTCCCAGATTTTAATAAATTGCTTTTTACATAGACTGAGTATTTAAAGTACTACATATTAAGATTATTAAAGCCTTTTTATTAAAATTCTTACGTTATGATTTTAGGTCTTTTAAATAGATTTTTACCTGGCCCCCTTAGTATTTTTCTAATTCTCTAGCCTTTAGTATGACATCTCTGTGCTTTATAATAATCTCTCTTTGTAAGACTTCGAGAGCTTACTGTGCTGTTAACAAGATCTGTGATAATGAGATTGTTGTAAGATGGGATGCAGGTTATCTCAGAGGATCTAATGATTGACCCCTGTAATGACAAGAATCTTACTAAACAGTATCCTATGCTCAAGTGGGAGTGGAATTGCGCCAGGAGTCTGCACCAATGCAGTGTTGGGTGGACGTGTCATGATAAGCAAGCCGTCCTAAGAGTTCTCCCCTCGAGGGATTGATTTATACGTGTGCATATAGTTCCTTGGTGAGAAGAATTGTTCTCCGCTTGCCCTATGTCCTCAGCTCTAATTTACGTTTCTGTAAGAGTGCTGAGGGTCCACACGTTTGTTCCTCCGACTGTGAGTAGATTCTTGGCTATCCTTTCTGATTGCCTAGCAGTCCCGCTTGTGAGTCACCTGACAGTGTGGAGCTCTGGTTTTGCAGTCACGCTCTGGCCTTGTGATGAGTGAATTTACCGAGCAGCGGGTCAGACGCGTTAGTTCTCAACCTCAGAGGGTATGCGAGCTCCCTTTCACCAACAGCTGTTTCAGCATAAAGCGCTTCGAGCTGAAGATGGTGCAGGAAGCTCTTCGTAGCTGTTGCCCAGCTTGTCTCCTTGGTAACCTGCATCCATCAGAACCTTGACTAGTATTTGGCTTTAGTCATTTCCTTTAACTTTTATTCAGCAAAGTATTTTCTTATAAAATGTGCTGTGTACTTTATCTCATAACCTCTCTTCTTTCGTGTGCTAACGAATGTTTCTTCACATTGCTTTCAAATGCTTGCATCTTGCTCCTCTCTAACTCTGAGCTCCCCTGCGGCACATCTGAGATGCTTCTCTCAGGTATAGCTTCCCTTTCTTTCGTACTTTTCTGGTGTTATTTTTAGTTGGCTTTTTTTCCTTCCAAAAATGCTCTTGGAACAAAACTTGAATGTAACGAGCCCTAAAATAGTACGAGTAAAAGCATATGTTGTTCTATTAACGCCTTAGCTGTATACATTTTAAAAGTGTCTTTGTTTTACTTTCATGCAGGTGATGAAACTTACCAGGACATTTTTCGTGATTTTTCTCAAATGGCATCCAATAATCCAGAGAAACTCAATCGTTTCCAGCAAGATTCACAGAAGTTCTGAGCCTTTTAAAGAGGGGAAACCATGGAATTTGGTGAATTACTAATGTGTACAACCAAAATCTTACACCTTTTTTTTTTTAACTGCTTTAATTCTGCTTGATTTTGGTAGACATTGCATTGTTTGGAGAAAAATGGTACCCTTTCATTTGTATTTTTGTAAATGAAAACAGATCTCTCATAGTTGGGAAAGGGAGAAATCCACTATAATTTCTCTTTTATTTAAGAAGAAAAAGACTGTTTAACGGGTGTGCTTTTATATAAAGTTGCATCCAGATCTAAGCGATCTCCTAAGTTCTGAGACGCTTACACTGTTGGGCCCGTGCGCCTTTGCCTTGGGTAGTGCCCTGTTTCTCCCCAGGAACACTCAGTCACTATGTCTGCATCAAGTGGGAGCCAGTTTGCTTACCTGTGTCGAGGATGTATCTTTTCTACAGCTTCGCTGATAATTGTTGGTGGTTTAGAAATATGTATGTGCGTTTCCTGGTAGCTTAGCTGTGGTACCCATGGTATATGATGTCATTGTTAGGACTAGTGAGGATGCCCCTCCTTTGCTCAGAGATGCCATTGCACGTCAGGACCTTAGCAAACACGGTGACTGTCCAGTAGACCATGCTTTAGTCTTTAGACTTATTTCATCTTGTGGTGCGAAGGAGCTCATTCTGTTTTCTTTTTCCAGTCACCGCAAGACGCCCAGCTCAGTCTTTATTTTTGGGTTGATTTCCTAAAACCTTGAAAGATCATCAGTGCAATAAAACTGTATTTCAGAAGTTGACTATTGCAAAATTGGGCTTTCACCAAAACACGGTGATTTCAAAGATAATGTAGGTCATTTTATATTTGGAATTTATCCATTTTAAGATATATATATATGTATGTATATTTACTATTACTCCTGGTGAAGGAAAAATCTCCATGTAAAAGAAGAAAAAGCTAATTTTTTTCTGTTTATACTAAAATTTACCAGCAATAAATTCCTTTTATTTTTTCTACATTTATCTTGTTTACTATACAACAGTATACATTCTTTTAAATTGTATCCTGTATATAGCTTTAGAATTAAGTAAAATATGTCATTGACTTTTGAGTTCCAAAATTACGAGTATGTGACACAGTTTAGTCAGATTCCACCTCTGATTGACACGTCTTGTCAAAGTATGGAATGAATAAATACTTGCCTTGTGGTTCATTTCCAGCACTGTTGATGACATTTAATCTTTTAGAGATTGTATGTAAGTAGCATTGATTCTCAGCTTCACAGAAACATTTTTAAATGTGTATATATATATAATTATAGTCAATTAAATAAAATAATTAACATTTCCCCCACAGTATGTAGAGCCTTACTTTGATTAAATATGAAATCTGAATCTAAGCAGAAATCATACTGCAATAAATTCTCAACACAGATACGGTCCCCTGGCTCAGCCAAATTGCAAGCATGTAGTGCTTATTTCGTAAGTCCCCACACGCTAGAGATAAAGATCTGCTGTGATTTCTATCTGAGGAAGCACAGACTTCCTCAGGATGGAAGGAATCTGGCCTTGTCGGTATTTTGTTAAAGGCAAAAGTCTAATTTTAATTGGTGTGTGTTTAATGTCCTAACACGTATTCAAGGAAGAGCAGGCTAAAGAAAGGACGAGAGGGAAGAAGCCCACCTCTTCTCCTCAGTGCCCGTTCTCGGTCACTGTGGAGCTCCTGCCTCGTCTGTGGAGGTGCGGATGGGCTTCCCTTCCAGCTGCTGGGGACAGTCCTCTGGACCTGTCTGCCTCCCTCCCTGATGTGTGTCAGAAGTCCTTGGTGTGACAGTCAGTAGTGTCTGCTGCCCTTTAATGGCTAGAGTGTTTTTGAAATAAGCCTTAAAGATTCAGGTGTGTGTGAAATGCCTTGAAGATCATCGTGGTTCTGAGTATCTTCAGAACAAGCTTCATCTCTTCTGATCGCATGGAGCCTGGCAATGCAAGAACATGTTTTTATGGCTCACTTAATTTTCTCAACGTGCTGAGAAACTGAATGACAGAAAGGGAATGGAGTCTAGCAAGGCTTTAGATTTATATCATGAAGTAGATTGGCTCTGAGATGAGTTTTGCTGTGTTCACCAGTAGCTTTATGTGGTGTGTGGTGCAGTATTCCATACAGTAGGAGAGATGAATATCCACAATGCCAGTCACACACTCAGGCCGCCCTTTCCGATTGCTCTGTGTTCTCTGCAGGACAGACATGCTGAGAAGAATTTGATTTTTTTTTTTTGTTTGTTTTGTTTTTTCGAGACAGGGTTTCTCTGTAGCTTTGGAGCCTGTCCTGGCACTAGCTCTTGTAGACCAGGCTGGTCTCGAACTCACAGAGATCCGCCTGCCTCTGCCTCCCTTATGCTGGGATTAAAGGTGCGCGCCACTACGAGTTTGATTCTTTATTATTAGCCTGTTCTCTGTTTTTCATGCTCTCATTAATGGAAACAATTGGATTACTGCCAAAATAAGAACAGAGGCACAATGAAGGATGCACAAAATGTAGCTTTAACATGGGCACGGATAAAGGTGATCGAGTAGCCATTCCCCAGGCTTCACTGCGACACCTACTCGTTTAACATTTCCAAGATTTCAAGTTCATCTTCAGTACAGTCCTTGGAAATGAAAAGCTTCCAGCATTACAGAGTGCCTGCCTGCCTGATGCCGGTGTCTGCCGTGGTGCCGCGAACTTTGGTGTTTACTTCCCCCAAAGTAATCCCAAAGGCAGTTTGTGTTTTAGCACCTCACAGGTGCATTCTGGGGGGAACATTATATGCTTATATTTTAGAGAATTTATGTTTGTGATCATGTTGGCAGTGTTTAAAAGTACATTTTTCTGCATATTAGATATGATCATGAACCAAGTTGTTTTATTTAAACCTAAACTTGCTACCCACTCTGAATAATTGGACATTCCTAGACCACTCATTCTCAGGTCAGCTTTCTGTGTTGCTGCATTTTTTTTAAATGAAATCTTATGTTCATAATAGCTTTAGTTCACATCCTTCTTGGATCCAGGGACGCCTCACAAATAAAGCGAATGGCTGAAACAAAGGGAACCTCTAAAGCCTCCCTTTGTGTACCTGTCCCCGGAGGCTGGCAGGAGGACACCTGCAGTCTTAGCCAGCCCACGAGCAGCAGCCTGGGCCCCGGGCTTCATCCCAGCCCCCTCTTGTTTTACAGAGCTGACCCATGGTCCGGCTCTGACATAAGCTCCGAAAGCACATGTGTCCTGGGAGGATTGGCATCGCTGTCAAGCAGCAGCTTTCCCTGAGTGTGATAAGAGGCTCCAGAAACACAGGAGAACCTCGTCACGTTTAAAGGACTAGATTGGAATTTGAAAGCATCAAATTGTAAAAAAAAAAGTCTGCATTTTGTACAATAGTAAACATTAATAAAAAGCCAAATATTATAAAGTTAAACTCACCTTTTATTAACTTTTTGAAGTCATAACCATAGAAAAGACTTGGATTCAGTCTGGCTGAGTCCTGACACCCAGAAAGATGTTTTGTGAGCATCTTTTTCTGTTTACATAAATGGGGATCATGTGGACAAAGGAAGATTTAATTAACTAGAATTTTTCTTTGCATTGGTCTTCTCACTATCTTATTTTCTAGGATTTTCTCATTCCCCAGCCCTGTTTTGGGCATTAAGTTTTAACAGGGAAAGTTGCTGTGCTATCAAGCTGTCAGCACCTTTTCATACAAAAGGCTAAAGGGTAACTTTGGGAAATGACAAGCTCCTCTTTAAAAATATCTGTTTACGTGCTTTGTGATATTTCTGGATCATTCCGGTCATAAAGACTGATCACATGTACTATTTCTTGCTGCCTGTGAAAAGGATTTTAAGAATGTATAACCAACACTCCATTAGTTTTTATTAGTGTGTAGATTTGTATTTAATTCATGAATGTAGTTTTTCTGTAGGTTGTCATTGTAAATGGAGCAAAGTACATTATCTTTATAGTTATTCTAAAATGTACATTATGTAAGAATTGTAAATATACTTGATTACTTTGTATGCTGAAAATTTACAATAATAAGTCAATAAAAATATCTCACTTCTGGCGCGGTCACTGTGGTGCTCAGATTTCTTTTGAACTGTGTGGTGGCCAGTCCAACATCTGTTCTAGTTAAAGGCCAGCGTGACTCTCCGACCCTTCCAAGGAATGGCAGTTCATGTTGATCCTGTTTACCGATTACTTCCATTCAGAAAAACATTTCGATCCTTTAAATAGTTTCTTCTTGCCGGCTTCAGTGATGCTGTAGCCCTTGCTTCATGAACTAAACCACGAGAGACATTCTTGACTCTTCTGCTTCTCCCCATTATGGTTGATGCGTTTGTTGGCGTTGCTGATCTTGGCAGCACACCTATAGCCCACCCTTTCACTCCCATGTGAATGGGGCCGAGGGAAAGGAGCGCTGAACTGCGGGTCTGGAAGCTAAGCTGGGCTCTCACAGTTAGTTCAGAGCAGATGCAGACTCCCGAGTGATCTGCCTTACAAACCCGCATCTCATTTTCAAAGCAGTTTCGAAGAGAGAACACACACAAGTGTTTTAGATGAAGGCAAAGAGCCTGTTTCTTATTGTGAAAAAGAGTTCATCTTCACTGCAAAGATAAAGTTTAAGTGACTGAAAAGGGCTAGGTGTGATGGCACATGCTTGGAATCTCAGCACATTGGGAGTTGGAGGCAGCATGAGCCCAACTCCAAACAAGCAATCAGTAATGTCTCGCAGAAAACAAGACTCAAGTAAAAGAAAAATCGTCTGCAATTCTGTCTACCTGTGCTGTCCAAAAAAAATAAGCCACTAGCTACAGGTGACCATTTATTTCATGTGCATGTGTGCATGCTTATGTGTTTGTGGGTGCATGTTTGTGCAGGTGCAAGTGAACATGTCTGGGTGGAGAACAGTGCATCCTTGGATGCCATTCCGCCTCGGGTACAGTTTATATTGTTTACTTGAGGAAAAGTCTCTCTCTGGTCTGGGGCTTGTCAGTTAGACTAGGCTAGATGGGCAGTGAACCCCAAGATCTTAGCTCTGCCTCCCCCGTGGCAGTACTGGGATGTGCAGCACACCTGACTTTTTGACGTGGGTCCTGGTGACCAACTCACATCTTTCTGCTGCTTGTGTGGCAGGCACCTATTGCCTGAGCTGTTTCTCCAGTCTGCACAAGTCCCTGTTGATCAGAATTAGGCGACGGCAAGTTCAGTTTTCAGCCCTAGTGCCCCATCTTGAGAGCTCAGCAGCCACAGGCGCCTCGTGCCTGCTGTTCTGGATAGGGTGGATCGTAGAAGTACGTTTTAATTTAATTTAACTATGAGGAAGTTGCCCCTGTGGAGCCCTTCTAGACCTTAATGTCTTTACGCACTTACACCGCTGACCATATTGCTTTCTGATCTTCTTTTACTTAGATGGGGAGCATTTAAAAACCTTGGTGAGGAATTTCAGATGTGCCAGCATCATTTTAGTAGTCGTGGACTCAACGGCAGTATTGCTTCGGGTTTCAGCTCCCACGGACAGTTCTCCTTTTCCCTGGACCAGATTCAGAATGCCACCAGCAGGTCATTGGGTGTGAATCTCTGAAAGGACCTTGTGTAATGATGTAGTACCCCCTTAAACTGTGCAAGACTATCGTTTTTCCAGGTGTCTCAGATATGGTTTTCCCGAGTCACTCCGCACATGTTCGTATGTTGCAGCTGGCTAATATGTCTCAAATTTATAGGTTTCCTCTACAGAAAAAGTTGTTCACATGCAGTTGATGAGTACATCAGTTATTGGTTGCTTTTGAGTTGGCCAGGCAGTTCCTTGGATCATCTCGAACTTGCTCTCCAGACTAGGCTGGCCTCGAAATCTGCCCTCTCTGAATATTGTCACTTTTAATGACTGCAGTATATTGCTTGCCGAAGCAGTTCATTGGTAATTACTCAATGCCCATCTTTTGCTCTCATAAATCTTGCTCTTAGAACTAAATATTTTATCTTTAGGAGGCAGGACCTCAGTCACATAGGCCCGTAACTGTACAAGAAAACCGAAGCCTACCAGCTAGCTCTGAACTCACAGGCACCGTGATGCTTCAGCCTTCCTAATTGTTGGGATTACAGCTACCACACCTGGCCTCTTACAGCTAAATATTTTAGGATGTTGTTATTTTCTTAGAGTAAATTCCTGGAAGTGAAAATGCTGGTTTGACTGGTATTTTTGAGGCTTGTTTAGCCTATTGGATGCTTGTTCAACAGTGGAAATATTTGATTAAAAAATAGTATCGACTGTTCATTTAGAGCCTATTCAAGAAAGAAAGATGGACTAGGTAGTGTGTAGGTGGCTGTCACACAGTCACTAGTGATGGTCTAAGTCCACACGATAGAGGAAGGAGTTTAGAGACTATAATCCATGCTCTGAAGTAGATAAGGAATTTACTCTATAGAAAACCCAGCTTCCTAATATCTGATTAGAAATCATATATTTTGACCAAAGTTAAACTTAACTCTAGAGTTACTGCGCATATCAGCGTTTTTGTCTATATGGGCATATTATGATATACCCAAGTTTATGCATTTTAGCTGAGAATAGATCAATGCAGGGAAATAGCAAGTAAAAATTAATGCCAGGTGCTGATAGATCAGGCAGTGGAAATTCTGTGCAGAGCTTTTGAGTATTTTCCTGACTTGGATAAAATTTAAATCACTTTATTTCTTTTGCATAAATTAAAGGACTCAAAGTCTGAAAATAAAGCATTAGTTGAAAAAAATGGTAGCATAAGTGCCAGAGGGAAAGCCCACTGCATCAGTGGTATGAATGGGGACTCAGAGGCACGGGCTGCAAAATTATGTAATTATTTAGAGACATAATATTACGATTTGGGGCAATATTTATAAGTACCCCCAGAAAATTTCTGGTTACTAAATTTTTGTCTGTTGGATATTTACACTTATTTTGGTAAATTTAATGTCTTTGAAATATTTATTCAATGTGAGGCACTTTAAAAAACAATCTGTGTCTTTCTTATCTGTGATGGTAGTGTTGGCTTCATTTTCAGAGTAACCAAGTAACTGCTGGGCATGCAATAGCTTGCAGTGGTAGAACTGGCCTGGACTTTCCATCCTGTGACTCCCAGCCTTGGAGGTTTAGAGAAATACAATGCCAAGTTTGATTTATGCATCGGAAAGCCCATGTTCTGGGCACTTGTAATACCTACATATTATGGAGTGGTGGGCATCAGGTGACTATCAACTGTGGTCTTTCTGCCACCTGGGGTCCCTCGGGCCTGTTTGGGACGGCAGATGCTTTTCGGAAGTGTTGCTCCGGGGTGGCAGATGCTTTTCGGAAGTGTTGCTCTGATAGAAAAGGGCAGAGCAGAAGATGACTGTGATGCTGGGACAGGTGAGCCCCGTCCACGCGGGAGAAAGGTGTGCCATAAACGTGGGATTTTCGTGCATTTTCACCTCCACCTCTTTCAAGTATGCAGAAATTAACTTCAGAACGCTTGGTCTATCATCACGTCTTAGAAATTTGAAGTTAATGAACTTTTGTCCTTCTAGTTTTGTCTGATTGATGTTAAAATGGCCACAGGCTAGTTACTTCAGTGTGCCCCAGTTAAAAATTTTCAAAAAACCTTTCTGGGACATTTCAGGCTTTCGGTTGAGGGTTTCAAGTATTCAGTATTAAACAATACTGATGGTCCTCAGGGACTCTCAGAAGGGAGGATGATGTTTTGGACAGCGAGGTCCCTCTGCTGGCCGCACATATTCTCTGGGTTATACCAGAGGTGCTAAGTGGGATGGCGAAGCCATTTTCATTTGGGGTGTTGTAAACGTCTGTGTGAAACAGGAAGGAACTTTCTGGTTTAAATGTTTTGGCTCCAGCTAGATTCTTTTTTTTTTTTTGAATTTTCAATTCAGGGTTTCTCCGAGGCTTTGGTTCCTGTTCTGGAACTAGCTCTTCTAGACCAGGCTGGCCTCGAACTCCCAGAGATCCGCCTGCCTCTGCCTCCCGAGTGCTGGGATTAAAGGCGTGCGCCACCACCGCCCGGCTCTCCAGCTAGATTCTTAAAAGGCTGGAGAGGCAGCTAAAGCTTCTAAAAAACAAGAAGAGAAATGTGGAGAAAAGTTAATGTTTTTGAGTTCTGCATTTATGAGTTTAAGTTCAGTATTATCCTACGTTGGGGTGTAATTTCAAGACCCAGCCTAGCTGGTATTTCCCTCCCTAGCCCTCTGAGCCGAGTAGGTCGACCCTGTCTAGTTTCTAGCTTCAGTCCGCGGGTCTCAAGTCTGGCAGCCAAACTACGAAGGAGCCATCGCGAGTCTAATCCCTCGGAACCTAGGACCTAGCGGGGCCTGCGGTGGTCCCGCCTTTCAGGCAGCTACGCTCACGATTGGCTCGGGGCAGCGCGGCCACGCCCCCACCATGGCCGCCGCCGGCTGCGGGGCTGGGGGCCCTCGAGCGCCGGTGTGAGCGGGCCCGGCTGCTGGGCCGCGGGTTGGGGTGCATGGGCCTCCTTCGAGGCGGGGCCGCGTGCGCTCGGGCCATGGCGCGCCTGGGCGCTCTGCGCTCGCACTACTGCGCGCTGCTGCTGGCCGCGGCGCTGGCGGTGTGCGCCTTCTACTACCTGGGCTCGGGCCGGGAGACCTTCTCCAGCGCCACCAAGAGGCTGAAGGAGGCCCGTGCCGGGGTCGCCGCGCCTACGCTGCCCCCGCTGGACCTGGCCCGGGGCTCCGCGGTGCCGGCCTCGGGCGCCAAGGCCAAGAGCCTGGAGAGCGGCGCGGCCGTGCCGGTGGACTACCACCTGCTGATGATGTTCACCAAGGCGGAGCACAACGCGGCGCTGCAGGCCAAGGCCCGGGTGGCGCTGCGCTCGCTGCTGCGCCTCGCCAAGTTCGAGGCGCACGAGGTGCTTAACCTCCACTTCGTGAGCGAGGAGGCCAGCCGCGAGGTGGCCAAGGCCCTGCTGCGGGAGCTCCTGCCGCCCGCCGCCGGCTTCAAGTGCAAGGTGAGCAGTGGGTGGCCCTTGCCTGCACTCTGAGCAGTTTTTGGCGGCTACGGTGAGCGCTGGCCACTTCCTATGCCTGTAGTCTGTCTGATTCCCTCCACCTTGCCCGGCGCATGCATGCCCAGCACATGCATGCCCAGCATGCTGGAGATCTGGTCTGGGGGCGTGTCCCAGAACCAGACTAGCTCAGCTGAGCCGAAGGGGATCTGCCTTGTTAACTAGTCCATCTCCCGCTTCATTCAGCAGGAGAATCAGCCTGCCCCATTTTGCTAGCTTCCCAGCATGCCTAAGAAGTGCCTTCACCGTCTACGTTCCTTTTAATATTCCGAGGAGGGAACTGTTCATTTTGAAGACACCAGTAGTCATCTTTCTGAGCAAAGTGTGCCGGACAGGGTCTGGGAGAAGCCTCTAGAAGTCGTGGTTGAACTGGAATTCCTCAGTAGAAGTCAGGGTATTGCAATCGTTTTGGTTCTCCTTGGAAACCATCTCGTGTCCTCTCTGTGCTCTTTTCCTTCCTGCCCTTAAGGACATGAACCAGTTAGAGAGGCCGCAGGTTCCTCCTCCAGGGGAAGAGAAAGCTCAAAGAGATGCAGATATGAACCCACCAGCCTGCCTTCCTGGCAGCTCCCACGTCTTTCATCTTCTGATTTATCACTTGCCTCTGCCTGTCCGGGATTGGACTCTTGACCTAGTGTGCTGGTTCTCCTTGTCAACTTGCTTGCCCTGTTTTGATCCTGTATTGTGTAGAGGGGTCCAGAGTCTGCTTATTGGGTAATGGGGTAGGCTATCTTAAAGGATGGCATCTGATGGTGGTGGAAGAACAGGAAGGCAGGAACAATATTCCCTGTGCCTGTGCCTAGCTTGGTGACTATCAGGAGCTGCTGCCAGGGCCATGCTAGGTTCAGGGGTCTGTAGCTGAGTACATTGTCACGCCCCAGTTGCTTGGTGAGGCTCTGCTGTCAGCCTGGTTTTATTCTCTGACTTCACCTCCCTTTCCCATAAATGTGCCAATGTCCTCATTTTATTTTATTTTATTTTTTGGAGACACCATCTTGTTATGTACATCAGGAGGGCAGCTGAACTCACAGTCTCCCTGCCTTTGTCTCCTGAGTGCTGGATTATAGGTGCTTGTAGCCCAGGTGGCTCCCCTCACGTCCGGATCTCACTGTCGTCTAAGCTGTCCCAGGAATTCACTGTGGAGCTCAGGCTGGCCTCACACTCGTGCGAATACTCCTGAGGGCTCCATTGTTTGTGTGTCACGCACCACGCTTCCTAACGCTATTGAAGGTGGCCTTACACAAGCTGTCTTCACCCAGAATGTCCCTTCTTCCCTCTCCGGGAACCTTCCATGTCCAGTCCTTCATAGCTTCCAATCTTGCTTCCCCTCATAGCATTGAAGATACATTTTCTGCACTGGGCGGATGAGTCCGTCAGGATAACTGCTACGGTAAGGAAAGGGTACCTGGGCTGGACTTTCGTCCTGTAGGAGGCCTAGGAGCTTCTGGCTGTTTAAGAGGCCCTTGTGCCCCACTTTGATGGGCGGATTTGTTCCAGAGCCTTCCTGCTTTACTGATCTGGAATTTCAGAGGTAGCTCAGCCTACCCTGTTTGGTCCTCCGGGCTCTGACGGAGAAGCTTTCCTGTTTCAAGGGAGAAGGCCCTGGGGCCACTCTAGACAGATCTTGGATTGCACCAGGTCACCTCGAAGACCAGCATGGTGTGGCCACCTGCTGAGGTAGCAGCTTGGGCCTACTCTGCATTTCCAGATCTGTTCCCCCTTTCATCCCCAGCTGAAGCACAGCCAGCCTTCAGCCTGCATGTGTGAGATGGCCCCTCCTCCATTACCTCCTTGGAGGTGTGCAAGGCACCCACAACTGAAGAGTATGTCATTGTCCTTTCCTGTTGGTCCTTCCTGCTGTTGTCCTGTGTCATGTCGGCTGCCCCTACACAATCCTTGCCACACAATTGGCCTCAAGAGCATAGGCCATGTCTTGAGGACATGATGCTTCCTGCTCTGTGGGGCCCATCTGACAGCCACAAGCCCTTACACAAAACTTGGAGACTACTGCAAATGACCTTAAGGGACTGCCACCTTCCCTGTGAAGTATGAAGGTGGGAGCTAGTGTGAGCCAGTGGGTCTAACCCAGTGGTTCTCAACCTGTGGGCTGTAACCCCTTTATGGGATTGAATGACCCTTTCACACAGGGGTCACATAAGACCACTGAAAAACATAGATATTTACTTATGATTCATGACAATAACAAAATTACAATTATGAAGTAGCAATGAAACTGTTGGGGTCCCCAAAATACGAGGAACTGTATTAGCAAGGTTGAGAGCCACTGTTCTAACCAGACAGCATTGGGCAGATAAAGGTTTATCAATCTTGGGGTCACATTGCTCCCATTGTTTATGAATTCATATTTTGTGAACTTGTTCCTGTGCTAAATAAATGATGCCTCTCCCTCAAAAGCAGGATTAATTCGCTTCTTGTGATTTAATTCTTCCTAGGCTTTGGACACTCCTCACATCACAAGCCGTTCCCTCCTGCCTTCTCCTCTGCCGGCTCTGTCCTTCAGGTCTATAGTGCTAGGCAAATGCTCTACCTCACCCCAGCCCTGTCTGTGAACTTCTTAAGAATGTAGGCCCTGACGTCTCTTTGCTGCCACATCCCTAGCCTCTGACCCGGGCATGTGATTGTTTTTTATACAGGGAGCTATTTCTTTCAGCATGGATTAGGAGGAAGGAAATTAGAACTTCTCAAACAGGTTCAGTCAGCTAGAAGGGATCTTCAGGAGCAGACCACAGAAGTGAAGAAACTCGCCAAGGCCACTGGGGAGTAACTGGCTTTGAGGTGGCCTTGAGGTGGGAGAGCCCTGGAATACAGTTTGTCTCTTTTAAGGATCACCTTTCTCTTGTAAGACAAGTCCAGAGTACAGTTTACTCTGGGGATGTTGTGTTGGAACTAGAGGGAAGGGGAAAGTGGCTCCTTGACACACAGCCTTCTAGAAACAGCGTGGGCTTCTCCCAGAGAGAACCCTGTGACTCCGTCATGTCCACAAGATATCCTCAAGGCTATAGTGAGCTAGCACAGGACATGTATCCATGCTCAGAGGTGCCTTCCCAGGCCACCTTCAAGTGATAAACACCAGAAATGGAGAACATTATTAGCAACCTTGGGCTATGTTTTGATTAATTAAATATTAGGTGAAACATTTTTCATAAAATTAGAAAAATCTCATTTTGACAATTACAGAAAAAATTTCTTGTTATGTTTTTACTGTGGAATTCTTATAACTAAATGTCTGAACCTGCTGTGTCCCAGGTACCAATGGAGGAGCTGCTTGGATAGCCCATCTTCCTACTCCTCAGGAGTCACGTGTTCACTAGAGTCCTGTGTCTTCCCCCAGTGCCTGGTCCAGACTGCCCTGGGTGGTGCCCAGAATGTGCATTTAAATGGGGTGGTGCAGGCATTCCTGGGATGAACCTGATGCCCTCCTGCTGACCGCAGAGTCAGCTCAGGCTCCCTGGCCTCTGCTGCCCGCCCTGGGGAACAGGTTGTCTGGTGTCAAGCAGGCATTCTCTGCCTGTTGACTGGCAGCTCCCTTTTATCCAAGCCACCTTTGCCAACGCGGGTAGCATTGCTATTGTCACCTTGCCACTTTTACCATATCGTTCCCATTTAAGCTTCTTGTGCCCCTTGGCACATCCAGCATCCTGGAACCCTGGCAGCTGGCCTTGGTTTCTTCCTCTAGCTTATCCTCCTAGAGCTTAAAAGGCAGGGGGAGGGGATTTCTGTGGATCTACTTCTGAATCCTGTCCCTCCCTGTCTCTCTGTCAAGTGGAATTGCACACTTGTAGAACTTAGATCAAGACTCCTGTCCCCTGCCCCACCCCCAATGTGGTTTTGCTCTGTAGCCCAAGATGGCCTAGAACTCAAAATCCCACTGCTTTAGTCTCCTGGTGCTGGGATTGTAAGTGTGCACCATCACACCTAGATAGGATTGAACTTCCCTCAGCTCTCCTTGCTGTATTGGATTTGACGGGGTGTACCAGGAATGTCTGACAGGAAGCTGGCGTAACCACGCTTGGGCTAGAGGGAGGCATTTCTGGCTCCCGTGAGAGCCCATGCAGATGTGAGGTTCCTTCTAGATCACTCTCGCCCTCCCCAGGGTAAGCCCTTGTCGTCATGCTTCAGGATGGCTGTTGAAGTTTGAAGCAGCAAGTCTGTGTTGCTTTGTGTTCAGACCAGTGTTTCTGTGGCCTTGCTTTTGGATCCAGCTTTACAATGCTGCCCTCCTCTGCTGTCTTCTTGGAAACTAAGCCTGGTGAACAGACCTGGAAAGCAGCCCTGCTCCCCGCAGAGCCTGTCGACCCCTGCGGTGCTGTTCCTTATAGCATTCTCCTTTGTTGTCACCCTGATGTCTGCTCAAACGCCACCACTCCTGTTCTGAGCCCCTTTCTTTCCTGTCATCCGTGTGTGGCTCTTGTGGCCCATACTTATTTGTCTGCCCATCTGTTCCGCAGATGTAGACCGCTTACCCTGGACCAGGCACTGCTCTGGGTCCCTATGACCCATAAGAACAGAACAGCACCCCTCCCCCCAGCCCCAGCTCTTGGAAATGTGTGTGGGGACAGACGTTAAACAAATAACCAAGTAAGAGAAAAGCAAAGCAGGACAAGGAGCTAAGGTGTGTTCAGGTGTCCAGGGTGGGAACTTGACTGTGGAGGTGGCCAGAGAAGGCTTCCTGCTAAGATGTGGGAGCAGAGACTGAGGGAAGGGGAGAGGAACTCCCTGGAGGAGTGGTTTCTTCAGAGAGGACTGGGAGAGGGGCTGAAGTGCCAGCCTGCCCGGATGTTTGAGAAAGTAACTGACCTGACCGATGGACTTGTTTGCGGTCTTTCTCTCCTGCTGGAATATCCCTAGAAGGCAGGATGGCCTTACCCTTTCTATCTGTCAGGGTTTGGGAATTCACAAATGACACTTTCCAATCCTGAGTC